TTTTGGCACCTATGTGGCAGGCCAACATGAGGTCGAGGACTAAGGTACACGTTCAGTCCAAATCCATTGCACCGCCACAAGGTCGACTCGAGGGCGGTCAGGTGTTCCAAATTGACCTTGCGCTCCTCCTTTGTCGAGGTTTTTGAAACCATGAACTCCTCCAGTGGGTCGTGGCGTGAGGAAGAGGACGTGGACCATCACCTTCCAAAGCTTTCCGTGTCAGCTTTATGGCCTGCGGTGGCGTTACCATGCCAATGCCACCACTGGGCTCTGCAAACTTTTGGGTTCAGTGCTTTGGTGTTGGGGTTTCAGATCTCAGGCTTAAGGCTACAATCATCAACACCGGACGCAAATGTAAGCTTCGCATGCCAGTTTCCTTGGGAACCGCGTAACTTAAAAACCGAAGGTCTAGGGCTTCGTGTGTAGAACTATCATGAAATCTCACTACTCCCTAAACCCGAACCCCTAAACCCTCACACTTCTCTGGTCGGGGCGGGGAGCTGGACACCTCGACAGTTGAAAGGGGAACAAACAGAAGCCTTGAAACCTCAACGGCCTAAACCCTCTGCGTATCGAATCCTGACTAAGGATCGCAGGAGCTGCAGTAGTTGCTACTCCTCCTGCCAAACTCCTAAGAACAACAAGGATCAAGATGATTCTCGATAAGGCTAGCGGCCGTAAATACATGCTTTGGAAAGCCTCGTGGTTTAGAGATCCTTAACAGGAGCCCGTAAAGGGACCCGAAACCCCTAGGAAGAAGACGAACACTCACCCTGAACCTAAACCCTAAACATGACCAGCCCCATACCTCGAAACATGAACCCTAAAACTTACCACCCCCCAAACCCCAAAGCCCCTAGCCCTGAACCTCAAAACATCAACATAAACCTTAACACCCCCTAAACTTCAATTCACAAACCCTAGACCTTACCACCCCGACAGACTAAGGGGCTGAATGCCCCAGCCCCCAAAAGGTTAACCGGGTTTAGGGTTTTGGGGTTTAGGGTTTACGGGTTTAGGGGTTTAGAGGTTTAGGGCTTACGGGTTTAGGGTTTTGAATTATTAATCGGAGTATATAAGCCCCAAAAGGTTACAGGTTACCCAGCCCCTAAACAAAACAAATCAACCTTGTTGGCTGACTTCTGAACCCCTCCAAAAAGCCAAACTTTTGGCCTCCTTAAAATAGTTCATATAGCAACCCAAAAAATTAAAGTCTGAAGAGCCAACCAGAACACTGCAAAGCCTTGTGGAGGAGCTGCGACCGGGCTAGCAGTGCAACTGCTTCTGAGGGATGCCAGGCCATGCCAAGAAAGCTTTAATTACGTGTTTGTTGCTTTAAGGCTTTAATTAAGGCGTTTCCTGGACCCAAAATTATGTAGAATAATAACCTTCCATAATAGATGATGAGCGACTATTTTACCTACTTTGGAAGGAGTTTAGGTAGGGTTTAGGGATCTAGGGCTCAATGCCGGACTATGTTTTTGTTGTATAGCCTAAGGCCGAAACACAACTATACTGAAGGTCCCCTAGTAAGAGTCTAGCCCTTAAAACCTGAACCCGAAATCTAAACCCTAAACCTGAACACTAAGCTCTCAGAGCTTGAAGATTGTCGGGTTTGAGGGTGCAGGATTTAGGGTTTCCATTTGAAGTTGGCTGTGGTAGATTGTATACCAAGCCCTAAGAACTTAAAGATTTAGGGTTTAAGGGTGTAGGATTTAGGGTTTCGATTTGGACTATGATAGACAACAATGTACTGTATCCTATAATATACTACCGTACTAGTGTACTGTGAGGGTTCTTGGTTTCGAGGATGTACGGCCGCTCGGCACTGCATTGAGACACAGAAAGAAGTTGGGAGTTCAACTCAATGCTGGGTTTGAATTAGGGTTTCGGGTTTAAGGTTTAGGGTCTGGGGTGTAGGGTTTACTTGGAGGGTCGGGGGACTTAGTAACTGGTTCTTTTACAGGCTTACAAGTACCATAAGCCCAATTAGGGTCACTTTTAGGGTACTTAAAAATCTACTTTCTACCTACTTACTAAGTCCCCCGACCCTCCAAGTAGGGTTTCGGGTTTAAGGTTTAGGGTCTGGGTGTAGGGCTTAGGGCGTGGGGTTGAAGGCTTATCTGAACCCTGAAAAACCTGCATCTTGAAGGGTTCCTTATTTTTTCCGTTTGTAAAGCATTAGGAATCCTTACAAAGTTAGGTTATTTGGGGTTGAGGTATGGTTCAGGGTTTAGGGTGAGGGATATTTCACTTATAACCTAGAAGCTTACGAAGACACCAAGGTTGGCCTGATTTCATGTCACACGAACAGCCATTAGACAGCCCGATGCAAACAGCAAACACTTTATACAAAAGCGATGTGCTCAGGCATGCAACGCCCCCAGCCAGTTCCTAGCTGCCGAGTTCATAAGCCCCAGAAAGTGCGTACTTATAGTTTTTGAAGGGGTAATATCATCCCAAGGAGTGTAAAGTGCATCCACTCAGCTACTAAGCGTTGCTTCTGCACCAGGGTGACTCCCTGGGTCTGCTCCAGGAACCTAAGGTAGGAACCTGATTGAGAAACCTTGGGCCTCTATTAGGGTTCCTTATGTGAATCCCAATATTTTGGGGTTATAGGCCCAGGGTTTCCTAATCAGGTTCCTACATTAGCTTCTCCGAAACCCGGCTTGAACAGGCTGTTTTGTCGACCACAAGCAGGGCCATCGGTGACGCAGGTAGGGATATACAGACATGTCACTCTCGTCACCGCGCTTCTACCGCTAACAGTAGACGCACAGTCCCACAACCCTCCACTTACAAAACAGTACACACAGATGCGCATTAAAAACCCTAAGCCTCATCTACTCCTGAAATTTAAATCCCAAACCATAAACCCAAACCCTAAGCCCTAGCTGTACGTCACAAGCCGCGCTTTTTGATTCTGTCCTGGCAGGCATGGAGACGTGCAGCTTGGCTGCGCCGTCACTGGACAGCTTCGGGGCAAGATCTGCCAAGTAATATACTGGTAAGCCCTAAATTCGGTTTAGGGTTTAGGATTAGGAGCCCTTAATCCTCCCAGAAAAGGGTCTAGATACTAGTTCCGCTTAAGGGGTTTATGGGGTTGCATAATGCTAGGATTTTGAACGGCAGGATAGGGCCTTAACAATTGAAACGGGGTTCTGGGGTAGATGATGGATAAAAGTATAAACATGTATAAATAAACATAATAACAAGGATCTATGAAACAAATACACAACTTTCGCAGTCGGATACCTTATAGACCCGTAAGAACCCCAAATCCTAAACCCCCGAACCTGACCCCAGACCCCCCGAAGCTGCTCTGCCAAGGGCGCGTTATCACAACCTAGCCGGGTGAAATCAAACTTCCTTGATCAGGTCTGGAGATCTCACAACGTTCAGGGTTTAGGGTTTAGGATTTAGGGTTACAGTTCAGGTCTTGAAGGACGTGGTGCTTAGGTTTGCGGGGGTCTGAGCTTCGAGGTTTATGGGTCCAGGATTTGGACTTCTTGGGCTTGGGAGGGGTGGGGGGCTGTCGGACCTTGGGGGACTTTGCTTCAGGGTTGTCAGGCCTGTGGGAGGGTTGGGCACCTTGAGGGTGTATGTGCCCCTAAGGCTCCATGTACCCATATAGTATATACTTAGGCCTTAAAGGGGTTCCTATATGGGTACTTTAGGGTCTAAGTATATACTATATGGCTACATGGAGCCTTTAGGTGCTCTTCGGGTCTTGCTGCATTATTACAGGAAAGCACGGGCAGCAAGAACAACGCACGAAACCTGGCTGCTAAGTCAACTTGTGTGCTCTGAAATACTGTAGAAACCGTCAATTCTGTCGCAAAACCTGAAACCCCGTAAACCCGTTTCGTCTGCGCCTTGTTGAGTCTTGGCTAAGCTTTCGAGGTGTTCAGGTGCACTCTCGGGTTTGTTTCAATCGACATGCTGCTTCTACATGCAACCTGCAGATCTCGCGTAGATTTTCTGGTTTGACACGCATGACCAATTTTCGTGCAGAGTTTGCAGACTGCAGACTGCAACAACAGAGGCACGGTTTCCGGCAAGCGCGAAGCCGCTAAGCTGAACGGCACCTTGCCGGGTTTGGAGCGGGGGCCTGTATGGCTGAAAGCAGGGTTAGCCCAAAGCCAAACCCAGGATTAGGGTTTAGGGTTTAGGGCAGACCTGAGTGGGCATCTTTGGCAGCACGAAACAAGGCTGCAATGCCCTGAAGGCGCTATTCAAAAGAGATCCCCGGCGCATGCTTCGCATTTGGCCGGGGCCGACGATCTAAGGAATGGGTGGATGTAGCAGTTTGAGGGGTGTGGGGCAGAGTTTGGGACGTGCAGCTATACTTTCATCGCAGCTGTAGCATACAGGACTCGGCGTTGACTGCTAATCGCGGGGTAGAGTGAGTTGAAGAAGTGTCGGAAGGACTCAAAAGGCAGAGATCGGACCCTACTAATACCCTCTTCTGAAAATATACCACAGCTGAGGAAAATGTGCACCCATGAGCGGCGGCAACATTGGAACCTGGTGAAATGTCAATCAAACCTGTGCGATAAGGAACTCCGAAATTCAGATGTGGCAGATGGGAGAATGCAGATGATGGTTGTGCATGGGGGAATGTGTGCGGACTACAGCACCCCCTTTCGAACCATGACTGTCATTTTGCTGTGTTTCAGAGGTTGTCGATGCTTTACACACCACATGTATCATTCATTCCCACAGGCTCCATGTAGCCATATAGTATATACTTATACCCTAGAGTACCCATATAGGAACCCCTTTAAGGCCCAAGTATATACTATATGGGTACATGCCCAGAGCCTCCAAAACCCCTTAATTAAGGAATATACCTTAAATCATATTAGGGCTCCTATTATAACTTAAGGTATATTCCTTAATTAAGGGGTTTTGGAGTCTCTGGGTGTATAATTCATTATCATGGATCTACCCCTCCTTCTGCCTCCAGTGAAGATGGAAACTTAGAGCTCGAGCAGGTCTCAGGCTGCTTCGTTGCCTCCAGGACTCGTCAGGAATCGTTCTTCTAAAGGGTCCTAACGGTTGATGATATAAATCCTGCATTACCCATAATAAGGAATATACCGTAATTCCCATAGTTTAGGGTCCTTAAGATAATGCAGGATTTATATCATCAACAGTCAGTACCTAATTATGATAGAATGTAAGGCTTCTCTAAGAGCAATTGCTGGCTTGGGTAAGTATCCCCAATAGAGTAACATAGGTACTGAACACATCTTCTCTCTTTGCGTCAGGATGCATGGGTCTTCACTACAGAGCACCCGGGCATAGGGCTTATTAAGATTCGTGAAAACATAGGGTTTAGGGGTTTCGGAATTGGGGATGGGGGTTCAGGCTGTATGTAGGGTTTGGGGATTCGGGTTTTGCCAAGACCGCTATGCGCCCCTTCATGATGCTCGACATCAGGGTTCAGCGGTTTAGGGCTTCATACCTTGAGATTGGCAGAGGCTTTTTTAGCTGTGGACAGCATGATCGCGTTGTCAGTGTTCTCAATATTTGTCGGGTATGCCGGGGAACTAGAGGTTAACCGTTTTGGTTATATAGGGATTATATAGGGACTATACTACCCATAAAAGGTTAAAGGTTACCTAATCTACTACTAGGGAGTGAAAATATCAACACTTTACGGTTTTGATATGCGTCGCAGAAAAGCTGACATTTTCAAGTCGAACGTTCGGCCAAGCCTTCGGCGATAGCATCCGCACCAATTGCTGGTCTGAGCCCCCTGCCACCTGAACAGCTTGGGGTGTTAAGGCTTTGCGGCTTTAGGGCTCCTTAGCACAACACTCCCCCGGTTTCAAGGCTTTAAGGTGTGAGGGTCTGGCGGCTGGGGGATTCGGGGAGAAGACTCCAGTGCGGTGTAATCTTGGGGTCATGTTACCCTACTTATAACGTCACTTATAACTAGCCATGAACCTCCCAGTACAAAGTCACCTGAAGGCTCTGATACTAGTGGTTTTTGCAGACCATAGCTCATAAACCCCAAACTCGGGACCCGGTTTAGGGTTTAGGGGTTACGGCACCCAAACTCTCAAGTTCATCGTTGCATCGGCCTGGGCCTTCATCTCCTTCAATGCCGCGACATGCCGTCGTGGCAGAGGAGTCCCTGTGGGCAGACGAGTCCGTGGTGGTGGAGTCCGTGGGGGCAGAGGAGTCCATGTCATGAGGCTAGACCCGGCGGAGGTTCTTCTGTTGGTGGATCCGCCACCCTGGTATTCTTGGTCAAGTCGGGAGAGTCCTCCGGCGAGAGATACCTCCGCCGTGCGGCGAAAGACCAAGTCATCGCGGTTTGAGAAACTCCCACAGTAGAATCGTGTAGGAACCTTTTTCCAAACCGTAGCAAAGCCCCTAAAGACCAATTAAATGGCACGACACCCCTGTAGCAGAAATCTCTAAAAGCCCGAAGCCTGCCTAAATCATAAATCCCACAGCCTAAACGTCATATAAGATAAGCCCTGGACTCAAAAAACAAAGCCAGCAACCTGAATCTTAAACCCTAAGGCCTAAACTCTACAAAAGCCCCAAGCTCTAAACCCAAAGCCCTAAACCCTGGACAAACTCAATACTCTCAACCCTCAGCTCGAGGCTGTACTCTACACTTGGAGGGTCGGGGGACTTAGTAAGTAGGGACCTAAGCCCTAGATAAAAGCCCTAAGCTCTAAACCCTAAGCCCTCAACGTAAACCCTAAGCCCTGAACCCTACATAAACGGCCTAAGCTCTAAACCTAAGCCCTCAACCTCAACCCTATGTACTAAACCCTACACAAAAGCCCTAAGCTTTAAAGCCTAAGCCCTCCACGTATCTAGGCTCTAAACCCTAAGCCCTCAACCTCAACCCTATGTACCAAACCCCACACAAAAGCCCTAAGCTTTAAATCCTAAGCCCTCAACGTATCTAGGTTCTAAACCCTAAGCCCTCAACCTAAACCTCATGTACTAAACCCTACGCAAAAGCCCCAAGCTCTAAACCCTAGGCCCTCAGCGCATCTAAGCTTTAAGCCCTACATAAATTCTCAAAGTCCTAAACCCTAAAAAGCTTTAAACCCTACATAAGTTCTCAAAGTCCTAACCCCTAAGCCCACAACCTAAACCCTATGTACTAAACCCTACACAAAAGCCCTAAACCCTAAGCCCAGAACCTAAACCCTATACTACTAAGTCCCTGAACCCTAAACCCTATAGTACCCTTAAAGAGCCCTTTAAAGGAACCCCTAGAATCCCCTTTAAAGCCCTAAGCCCTCGAACTTCGAAGCTTCAGCTATCGAGGCCCTAACTCTTTTTCGGAAGCCCGAACTTGAACTTGCTTCCTCGCCGCAGAAGCTTAGGGTTCCTTTAAGGGATCGATAGAAGGCTTACGGTTCCTTTAAGGGATCGATAGAGGTACTGTAATAAAGGGTTTAGAGTCTTTGTGCTTCCTCGCCGCAGAAGCTTACGGTTCCTTTAAGGGATCGATAGAAGGCTTACGGTTCCTTTGAGGGATCGATAGAGGTACTTTAATAGAGGGTTTAAAGTTCTTGTGCTTCCTCGCCGCAGAAGCTTACGGTTCCTTTAAGCTTTTGGGGTTTAGGGTTTAGGGCTTTAAATAAGGATCTATAAAGGCTCCTTTAGGGGATATATAGGGGTTCCTTTAAGGGATCGATAGAGGTACTTTAATAAAGGGTTTAGAGTTCTTGTGCTTCCTCGCCGCAGAAGCTTTTGCTTTTTGTTGAGGGCTGCAGGTACAGCGGGAATTCCTATACCCGGAGCAGAAGTTTAGGGTTGAGGCTTAGGGTTCTAGAGCAGAGCTGGGGGTGTGAGTGCTTTAGGCCTTGCGGTTTTTAGGGTTTAGGTTCAGGGTTGAGCCTTGAGTCATTGAGGGAGTTAGGACAGTTAGGGGTTGCGTTTTGAAGGTTCAGGGCTGAGGACTTAGGCTAGGGTTAAGGGCTCTTTCAAACGCGATTTCCTCGTCTAGACCTAAGAGTAACCTAGGAAAACAAAGGGTCCCCTTTTTGGTTTAAAGGGGCTTATAAGGGAACCCAAACCCTACACAAAGGGAATAAGGGCTTACTCTGGGTCCTGGTTGTACTGGTCCCCATATGATCCGGATACTACAGCTTGGATCTCACTCCTTAAGGTGCATCTCAGGACATTGCGCCCGATCAAGGTTCCTTCATGCGAGGGCCAACTAAATGGGCGTGGTGACCATGCCTTGAGGTCCCAACACAAGTAAATCTGAACCACTACTTGGACGTTCATCCATGGGTAACTAGAAGTGAGGTTATAAGCAGGTAAGAGTATCTATACTTATATCCCATATTAGGGGACTCATAACTCCACTTATAACTACCCATGAACCTCGAAGTGTTACAAAAACAGCAGCGGCAGCAGCACCGGCACCCGAACCGGCATCCCCACTGCCGCCGCACCCACCAGCAGCACCACCAGCACCGGGTACCACAGCCACCACAAAATCAATATCATCATCTTGATCTTCTCTCGTTATCATCACCATCATAACCATCATCGTCATGTTATTCACCGTCAGCAGCACCATCATCATTATCATCATCAGCATCATCGTCACCACCACATCATAACCCTCCTCCTCCTCCTCATGATCATCATCATCATCATCATTATCATTATCAACTCTTCTTCTGACTATTGTTCACAGCCACCGTTGGGGCCACCCTCCTCGTCTTCGTGGCCAACATGCAACTATGAATCGTCTTAATCGTCGCAGTCACCGCGATGACCGAAACCACAACCATCTACAGAAGCACCATAGCCACGATCATCTACAGCAGCGCCCCCGTATCCATCATATGCATTGACATGTGCAGCTGGGGCTTTGCCTTTGGAAGGCAAGTCGTCCGTGGAATGGCAAAGCTGAATTTCGCGGCCACCAAAGAAATCGGTGTGATTGCGGGGGTTGCTTTGTTGGAATAGATTTTAGATCTTGCTCAAACATGCCTGCAGAAACCGTCGATTGAATTGCAGTTTTGGAACACGTCAATCCGACACGAAAGAGCCCTTGGTATCTCAAAAGGGTCGGCCCGAACGATGGCATCCTGTAGGCAAAACAACTTGAACAAGGACCCCCCCCCCACCCCAACCACACAACCCTAAACTCACAAGTCCTAAACCATAAAACCCTAAACCCTGAACCCTCAGAGCTTTTTTGGGAACCCTTAAACCCAAAAGCCCGCACATCCCCCTGTACGCCTGTGGGTTCGGGGATGCTCAGGCACACTGAAGTTGGCATTCCGACCTCCGTGAAGTGTTGGTTTCAGGGTCCAGGGTGCAGGGTGAACTGTGAGTTTTTACAAGGGTTTAGTAATTAGGGTTTGGGGTTTAGGGTTTGTGAATTGTGGTGCTTAGCTTTGTTGAGGGGACCATTAGCTAATCACGAGCTTAGGGTTTAGGGTTTGTGAACTGTGGGGTTTAGCAAATAGGGGCTCTATAGGGTTGAGGGCTTAGACGTCTAGGGTCTGTCTTTACAGTTAGCTTTCAGTCATAAGAACCACACACAGACAAATCCGAAGCACGTAAATGCTTGGTAATTTGTACAAAACATCGTGGTAAATCCTAAGCCAGCCATACTAGGATGTCGCACAGCTTGTACTTCTCTAGGCCTCCGGCTCCTTGAGTAGTAGGGTACTAACCATAGAGTATATACCCCAGTAACCTATGATTTCGGCAACTGGAGGCCTAAGGCTTGGCACCTACGCATCTTTCCTACGGGACGTGATGCAGTCTCGGCTTGCCTATTTTCGGGGCCTGTGGATGAGGGGTGCCTCTTTGCCCTTAGATGCTCATGCTGGATGGGATATATACTGGAAAACACGCCTCCTTGAGCGGGCTATGCCTCGTGCTGAGTCCTTGGTACACTCAGGTGCTCGGCCTGTGCCTCGCGTGTCGTAAAAGAGCCAAGCAAGCGGGCAAAGTGTGTCGTCCAAGATCCCAATACACATCGCCTCCAACAGCTTCCCGCACTTGCTGTCGTTGTTCAACCCCTTCTCCCTTATAAAGTGTGGGCATATCAACAGGAAGAGCATCTTCAGCCCTTTGTTTCCAAGGTCCGGTAGCTCCTCCCTCTGCTTGCGGTGGTGCTTGCTGTGAAGCTTTTGATTCTGAGCCGGAACAGCAGGAGCAGTCTGACAGGCGTCTTTGCGTGGCCCTTGATTAGTTCCTGGATGAACTACTTGGCTTCTTCGCTGTCGCCGAGCTCTTTTCCGAGCTGAAAGATAGTCATCGTAACATATTTGTCATTCTATTCTGAATGCGCTGGAGCTGTCACGGGTTTCGGGAGTTTTCACGCATATATAGTTCAAGCCAGAAGTTATAAACCCGAGACCCAATGCCAGAATCCCACCAAAGCGTCGCTAACTTTAGGACCTCGCGGCTCTTCAATCTAGGCCACTTGGGGGCTTCAGAAGACCAGGGTCCCTAAACAATAAAGCCAGAACACCACTTGGAGGGTGGGGGGACTTAGTAAATGGTTATTTTGGGGACTTATAAGTACCATAACCCCAATTAGGGTCCCTTTTAGGGTACTTATAAGTCTACTTACTACCTACTTACTAAGTCCCCCGACCCTCCAAGCATGCAACCCCTGAGCATCACCAACATACCTTTCAAGCAACATCAAGCAATCCTATAAACACCAGCAGTCACCAGTTCAAGCCCCTAACCAATCCGATTGGATTCCCAGAAGGAAAGCCTGTAGCATTAGTGAACCTATCAACATATCTCTTGAGAAACTCAGAAAATTGAAACAACTATGAACAGTTTAAAACTCTGAAGACCCGTGCAAGACACTATAAGAACCTCGGCCAAGGGTCCCAAGTACCTACATGGTAGAAAGTAGGGTTTCTATAGTAGGAACTGCTACTATGGTTTGGGTGAAATCCCCCCATATACGATCCCGGTTCTCGGTTCACCGAACCCCCCCCCCCCCCCCCCCCCCCCCCAATGGTAAGCTTTTTCCACCCGAGGGCTCACACGCCAAGCAGACCCACGCAGGAAACCCAAACTTGAGGCCTAAAATTGGTTCCCAAAGCTGAGACCGCCTGATTGGAAACTACTAGGGGAGACCCCATTTTGGGCTTCGTTTTTGGAGCTCGAAAATGGGCTCTAGAATGGATCGAAACCACACCACACCACAGGGGGGAGTGGGGTAACCAGCCTAAGCAGACCCACTCCCGAACCACACCACATCACACCACAGGGAGGGGGAAGCAACCCACAACCACACCACACCACAGGGGGGGGAGGAGGAACCATTGGGGGGGGGGAGGGGGGGGGTTGGCCGAACCGGGATCATATATCTGATATTGGTTTTCGGGATCTTAAACCTTAAACCCTAAACCCTTTCTAGGTCCTCGGGACCCCATGGCTTAAGTGGGACTCAACTTTTGTCGGACCTGCACCATGCGCTCCCATAGCCACTGAGTCTCCTGGCATCTGAGGGGTTCTCTAGAGCTCTGTGCTTTGGGGTCTAGGGTTTAAGGTTTGAGGGATTAGGGTTGAGGCTTTGGGTTCAGGGTTTCGGGATTTGGGGCATCGTAAGCCTTTCTCAACGTTTGGGGCTTAGGGTTGATATGCACTTAACAGTTCAAACGATTATGGGCACGGGCATTGCCAGGACCCCTCATTGGCCCTGTAGTGGAGCCCTTCTGGTCCTTAATGGTGTGTGTGTGTATGTATCTAGGGTGTATTAGAGGGGAGTTAGGGTATCTGCACTGTCGCAGAGCTTGCAAAACACTATACCCTAGACCCTCTACACCAATCTAAACCCTATATCCTACATGTGGCCCAAATAACTTACCTTTTTCAGGACTTGCATATAGAAGCCATAATTACAAGGAGCCCTGAAAATGCAAGTCTTTTCGGCTACAGATATTATATACCTTCAACCGTTTATCCAAGGGGAAAAGGAGGGACCCTTAACAAGGACCCCTAGGTATATACCCTTAATATAGCCCCTTATAGGGTAGGGGTCCCCATTACGGGTCCCTCCTTTGCCCCTTTTAGTTTAACCTGTCAGATCAGCCCTCGTGGCCTCGAAGAACCAAGCATGCGTCACAGGAGCCAGGCGGGCGTAGCGATCAAGAAGATCAGCCTCCAAAACAAAGGGGAAAAGGAGGGACCCTTAATTTAGGGCTCTTAGGGTTCCTTTAAAGGGATCTTTAGGGTTCCTTTTAGGAGTCCTCAGGGGTTTAGGGTTTAGGGTTCCTTTACTCAAAGGGGAAAAGGAGGGACCCTTAGTAGGGACCCCTACCCTATATAATGGGTATAGAATGGCTATAAAAAGGGTATATACCTAGGGGTCCTTGTTGAGGGTCCCGCCCTTTACCCTTCGAAGCCTCCAAAACAAAGGGCACGTCAGGCTCCTTTATAAAGGGTTCCAGAGCTCTGGTTATGAAGGTAAGTGGAGCTCTATATAGGGATTCTAGAGTTGCGGTTTTGAGAACAAGGTATGTGGGCTCTTCTGCTGTACTTCAACAGGAGCCCTAAGGAATACGTGTGGTCATTGCTCCGGCTCCCACATTACCTCCTAAAAAGTAATTCCCATGATGATTAATAACCAGAAGCCTAAGGAATATTACCTAAAAATTAACAAGAACTCAAGTATGATTTAGGGTATATTCCTTAATTAATGGGTATTGGAGTCTCGGAACACCAGAAGCCTCTTAGAGCAAATATACCAGGACCCCCCGGCGGGGGCTTTAATAGAGCCCTAATGCCCCTTAACAGCAGGTAATTGGGGTCTATTAGAGGGCAGTTCGGGGGCTGCAGGTTAGGTTTCGGCTTCAGGCGTTCAGGATAATCTCAAGATCTGAAGACGATGTGGTTGCTGAGGCGTCGGGGTAGAGTGACAGCACTTCATGAGGGTTGGATGGTTCTGTCAAGTTACAGCTCCTGAGATTCTGCAGTGCCCATGTCTACACTTCGACTTAGAAGCCCAGCCGGCAGCCGGCAGGAAGCACGACCTCCACACGCTGGGCCCACAATGAAGGGAAGGGGAAGACAATCGTATGGACTGAGATCCCTCAGCCGAGTTGAACCCCTAACCCTAATCCCGCAACCCCTAAGACCTAGACTCAGGTGACAAATCTTCCTCCAATTTCACCCCATCATCATTTCAAGCTGTACTTGCAACGTTCCTTACTGCTACATGCTCATGCCACCGCATTAACTCTTTGTCCTTGTTGGCTTCTCTCACAGCAAACCACAAGTACCCGTCTTCAGCCGAAAACCCTGAACCTCAAAACCCTCAACTTGCAATCTTGACGGACAGCAGGCTTTCTGGTTTGGTGGCATGCTTCAAAGGTTCTAATGCTTATGGGGATTGCAAGGCTTCTAAGATCTTACAAGGCTTGAACCTTTGTATTTATATTTGGTGTTGGCTTCGTCTTCAGGGTTATAGTTTAACCTGTCGGCCAACAGAGGTTTTAGAGTTTATTGAATTGGTAAACTCAGGGTGTCGGGCCTAAAGCATGGGGTCCACCCTGGTTAATTACCCTCCCGGCCCACCGAAGCCTGTGTGATCCACTGCAGTTTGCGCAGGCACGCGCAGCAAAGCGAAAATGGCAACAGGGACACAGCCTGTGCAAGAATGGAAGATGTACGTGTCTTCCGTCTTGAACCCCTTTCGACTACCCCACACATTTTAGTTTATGGTGTAGGGAGAGCTCCACGGTGCAATAACGATGAACGAACCCACACAATTGACCTAACAAATGCAAGGCTCCTCTTCTCAAGTCTGAAACCGATACCCGATACCCCTGGAACATACTAGAGCAACAGGCGTTACATGCTCATGACCGTATACTACACCACCCATGTAACAAATCATACTGCTTCGATCCGTTTTCTCTCCAACGAAACGTAGGCGGCCTGAATAATCAGAACAGGGCCTTGGGGTGATTCTAGCGTAGGTATTATAGGGCCTGTGTTCCAGGATCTGGGGTCGATGTACTAGTTACTATTATAACACACGGCACCAAAAAAGACTTGGGGCAGAGTGTGTCCCCACCTCCGGCGTCACCTCCGAATCGATCTGGGGCAGAGGGTTCATGAGGCAATGCCTGGTGCAGCTACTGTCGATCACCGGTCGTATGACTTTGGGGTTTCATTGTAAACGAACATGGGGGCGACCAGCCCTCAACTCTGAAATACTCAAACCCTTTAACAAAAAAACGTTTGATTCGGATGACACTGGTATGTCAAACGGACGGACTCTCTACGCGTGCAGGACCCAGAGAGCCCAGTACCCCTTAGCTATAGAACATAACCTTCAACCAGAATATTCAGGCCCCTATAATTTAATTTAGGCATACTCCTTAATTAAGGGGTATTGGGCTCTCTGGGGACAAGGCTTACAATGGCTGTGATTGCAGTCAAACAACCGCACGTGTCGGAATCCGTCGCGCATTTTTTGTGCAATTACGCGTTTCGCCACAGCGGGAGCGCATTTTCAGACCGAAAACGAGGCCTTAACAAAAATGTTGTTTTCAGAGTTTGTTTTGTGGAAACCATGGCAGGCGTGGCACTTTGCGAGATTCGGCGTGTCACTTTTTTGGGTCTTCTTTTTCGCGTGGTTGAAAGGCCGAAAACACCGCGCACAACGAGGCTTTAGTAATGTCAACATTCCAAAATGCGATTTTGCCGTTTACCCCAAAGTTTGTGTTTTCTTCTACGTGGTTTCAAGGATGAGTAAGCCATGAATTTTTCAACCGCAAATGTGGCAGCAAAGAGAGATCAATGAAAACGACCTCTTCGTCGCATTATCAACACATTGGGAATTGCCGAAGATTTGTGCATGTCTTCGCGAAAGCTGCATCGGATCATCTTCGTGAGATGTGCCTAACGCAGGAAAACGCATCGGATGAACTTCGTCAGATTTCAGAGATTCATGTGAGTTGAGCAGAAGATAGGATAGATTAGAATCAGGATGAAAACATTGGGTATTCGTGTTGTTTGAGGAGGATTGGTGAAGTTCTGTCGCGACAACTGCATCGGATCATCTTCGTGAGATGTGGCTATCGCAGGAAAACGCATCGGATGAACTTCGTCAGACTTGCGAGATTTAATCTGAGTTGAGTGGAAGATAGGATAGATTGGAATCAGGATGAAAACATTGGGAATTTGTGTTGATTGACGAGGATTGGTGAAGTTTTATCGCGACAACTGCATCGGATCATCTACCTGAGATGTGGCTATCGCAGGAAAACGCATCCGATGAATTTCGTCAGATTTGAGAGGTTCATGTGAGTTGAGCAGAAGATAGGATAGATTAGAATCAGGATGAAAACATGGGGAATTCGTGTTGTTTGAGGAGGATTGGTGAAGTTTTATCGCGACAACTGCATCGGATCATCTACCTCCTGAGATGTGGCTGGTGCAGGAAAACGCATCGGATGAACTTCGTCAGATTTGAGAGGTTCATCTGAGTTGAGCAGAAGATGGGATAGACTGGGATCAAGATGAAAACATTGGGAATTTGTGATGACTGACGAGGATTGGTGAAGTTTTGTCGCGACAACTGCATCGGATCATCTTCGGTAGATGTGGCTTTCGCAGGAAAACGCATCCGATGAATTTCGTCAGATTTGAGAGGTTCATGTGAGTTGAGCAGAAGATAGGATAGATTAGAATCAGGATGAAAACATGGGGAATTCGTGTTGTTTGAGGAGGATTGGTGAAGTTTTATCGCGACAACTGCATCGGATCATCTACCTCCTGAGATGTGGCTGGTGCAGGAAAACGCATCGGATGAACTTCGTCAGATTTGAGAGGTTCATCTGAGTTGAGCAGAAGATGGGATAGACTGGGATCAAGATGAAAACATTGGGAATTTGTGATGACTGAGAAGGATTGGTGAAGTTTTGTCGCGACAACTGCATCGGATCATCTTCGGTAGATGTGGCTATCGCAGGAAAACGCATCGGATGAACTTCGTCAGACTTGCGAGATTTATCTGAGTTGAGTGGAAGATAGGATAGATTGGAATCAGGATGAAAACATTGGGAATTTGTGTTGATTGACGAGGATTGGTGAAGTTTTGTCGCGACAACTGCATCGGATCATCTACCTGAGATGTGGCTATCGCAGGAAAACGCATCGGATGAATTTCGTCAGATTTGAGAGGTTCATGTGAGTTGAGCAGAAGATAGGATAGATTAGAATCAGGATGAAAACATTGGGTATTCGTGTTGTTTGAGGAGGATTGGTGAAGTTCTGTCGCGACAACTGCATCGGATCATCTACCTGGGATGTGGTTATCGCAGGAAAACGCATCGGATGAACTTCGTCAGACTTGCGAGATTTAATCTGAGTTGAGTGGAAGATAGGATAGATTGGAATCAGGATGAAAACATTGGGAATTTGTGTTGATTGACGAGGATTGGTGAAGTTTTATCGCGACAACTGCATCGGATCATCTACCTGAGATGTGGCTATTGCAGGAAAACGCATCCGATGAATTTCGTCAGATTTGAGAGGTTCATGTGAGTTGAGCAGAAGATAGGATAGATTAGAATCAGGATGAAAACATGGGGAATTCGTGTTGTTTGAGGAGGATTGGTGAAGTTCTGTCGCGACAACTGCATCGGATCATCTACCTGAGATGTGGCTATCGCAGGAAAACGCATCGGATGAACTTCGTCAGATTTGAGAGGTTCATCTGAGTTGAGCAGAAGATGGGATAGACTGGGATCAGGATGAAAACATTGGGAATTTGTGATGATTGACGAGGATTGGTGAAGTTTTGTCGCGACAACTGCATCGGATCATCTACCTGAGATGTGGCTATCGCAGGAAAACGCATCGGATGAATTTCGTCAGATTTGAGAGGTTCATGTGAGTTGAGCAGAAGATAGGATAGATTAGAATCAGGATGAAAACATTGGGAATTTGTGATGACTGACGAGGATTGGTGAATTTTTGTCGCGACAACTGCATCGGATCATCTACCTGAGATGTGGCTGGTGCAGGAAAACGCATCGGATGAACTTCGTCAGATTTGAGAGGTTCATCTGAGTTGAGCAGAAGATGGGATAGACTGGGATCAGGATGAAAACATTGGGAATTCGTACTGATTGAGAAGGATTGGTGAAGTTTTGTCGCGACAACTGCATCGGATCATCTTCGGTAGATGTGGCTATCGCAGGAAAACGCATCGGATGAACTTCGTCAGACTTGCGAGATTTATCTGAGTTGAGTGGAAGATAGGATAGATTGGAATCAGGATGAAAACATTGGGAATTTGTGTTGATTGACGAGGATTGGTGAAGTTTTATCGCGACAACTGCATCGGATCATCTACCTGAGATGTGGCTGTTGCAGGAGAACGCGTCGGATGAACTTCGTCAGATTTGAGAGGTTCATCCGAGTTGAGTGGAAGATAGGATAGGTTGGAATCAAGATGAACTCATTGGGATTTCGTATTGATTTAGGAGGATTGGTGAATCTTTGTCGCGCAAACTGCATCGGATCAACTTTGGCCCACGCTCACGCAGCACGGACGTTATTAACCCCCCACCCCACCCCAGCTACCCCACCCCCACCCCACCCCCCTCCCGAAGACAAGTCCCAATCCTCACAAATGCACGTAAACGCACGACAGTTAACGATCCGTTAGCTCAAACAACCATCCGGAAACGAGGAAGCCTTGAAGACCCAAACCCTGGGTCTGCGATTTAGGGGTTTAGGGCTTAGGGGTTTAGGGGTTTACGGAGGTTTAGGTTTGGGAGTTAGGGTTTAGGGTTTAGGGTTTGGGGTTTCGGGCTTCAGGAGTTTGAGGTTTAAGTTAGGCTGAGGTGGAAATCAAACCTCGTACAGCGGGGTCCTGTTTCATGCCTTCGGGGAAAGCCCTGCGGCCGTGGAAAAGATTGCAGTGTGTCTGGTGATTCTGTGGAACTGTCTGATTTTTGGGTGGCCTTATGTTGCGCTTATACTATGGTTTAGGGTTTGGGGCATCCAATATGCTCTTCCTGCGAATTTGAAGTTAGACCCGGAACTTCTTACCGCGTAGGCCCCTCTGAGAAGCCCTTGGAATTGGGTGGAACCAACCTGAGACGAGCCACGAAACACTTCGGAGGCCACGAATCCTTTTCGGAACATTAACCCGACCGCTGAACCCTGAACTACGGTTGATGATATAAATCCTGCATGACCCATAATAAGGAATATGCCATAATTCCCATAGTTGAGGGTCCTTAAGGTCATGCAGGATTTATATCATCAACCGTAGGATTGGATCAGTGCATCAAAGGCCAAGGCCGAGGTATGCAGTTCCGGGTCGAGGGCTGATTATGCTGCAGCAGTGGCACACATGTTAGGGGGTTCGATAGCCTTCTTAAACTGTTGTAGGGTTGGAACTCTGGGAGGAGAGAATAACCGAAAGCAGTGCCATGGAGAAATTGAGCAGTTCAAAGGGTAGAAAAGTTCTGTAGCAATGACGGTCGCACTTCGACATCATGCAGAAAATAAATACTTCCTGTAAAAACGCCGAAGAGAAAAAGACTGTTGCTTCGAAAACTATGATGCAGTAAGCTCCTGTAATCATTCATGCGGCCGAGTACGCTCTCCTTCGGTGCTCTCACCGAGTGGCGAGGACGTACTCCCAGTGGCTCCTTTCTGCCACGCCACCCCGGGAGCCTGACAGCGATTGGCCACGTGGAAGACCTGGCTTCAGAGCCTACTCGAGAGGGTCGGTTGATCTCACCGTGCTGTATCCGGCACGTACCAAGAGCTTGTCGGATCCTGGCAGGCCTTGTGTACGTGAGGTGCCACCTATCGATCACCCCAGAGTCTCCAAAACCCCTTAATTAAGGAATATACCTTAAATCATATTAGGGCTCCTATGATAGTTTAAGGTATATTCCTTAATTAAGGGGTTTTGGAGTCTCTGGGACCCACTGCAAGCTGTCGACTTGACTCCAAGCAGGGACTGTGTTGTGGCCTGGTCGCAGCTGACGCAATCTGGCGGAGATCATTCGCTGTGCCGCACCTATAACTCCTATACCCTAAATTACCCTAAACCCCCACAGAAGCCTTATCAAGGAACCCTTAAGTTAAAATCCTTAAAACCTTAGAAAACCTTCAAACAAGATTTCTTAAGGCGTCGATTCTCGGGCTCAAAGGGTGCAGGGTTCCCTCGAAAGCCCGGCTGCGGCTTGGATGAGGCGCCGGCAGGAGATGGCACTCCTTCAGTCAGTCTTTTACTTCTAGACCTAACAGTAACCTAGGAATAAAAAGGTTGCCCTTTTTGGTTTAAGAGAGTTATAAGGGAACCTGAACCCTAAAACAGGAAATAACGGCCTGCTCTGGGTCCTAGACTTCGTCTTTTCCTTATTTTTGGGTCCTTCAGGGGTCTAGGGCCCTAACTATATGGTCCTTGGAAGCAGAAGGTATGTCTTTTTTTTGTCTGGGTATTTGTGTGTCTGTGTGTGTGTGTGGGGGGGGGTGAGGTGCGAGGACAAAGGGTTTAGAGTTTAGGGTGGCTCCTCTAACGCTTCATTAGAAAGGGTTACCCAGAGCCTCCAAAACCGCTTAATTAAGGAATATACCTTAAATCATATTAGGGCTCCTATTATAGGTATATTCCTTAATTAAGGGGTTTTGGAGTCTCTGGGTACGACGTTGTGGATGAGTGGGATTGCCAGCACTCAACACATCGACAAAGACAACATTCATGGAGTGCTTGTCGCAACCACAGACTGATTCTCTCGGTGTCGGGCATGTAGCTCGATTAACCCTAAGCCCTAAACCCCCAAACCCTAAACCCCTAAACCCTAAAGAGCATTTTGGGCCTTGGGTTGTACCGTTGTTGGGTTTTGGAGGTGCCGGGCCGTAGCTCGACGTGGACAGACGATGATCGAGGGTCGAGCGCATTGGCGTTTAGTGTTACAGCCGCTTCCAAATACTATGCCTTACATCCCAAACGCCAGACCTTCTCCCTACGCATTCAAGCGCCTGAGCAGCATGTAATTCTGCAGATTGAAACCTAAATTCAAACCCCGGAAAGCCAGTATAGACGCAGAACCTTGGATCTTCAAGATCAATATCCTAAATCCTGAACGCTGATGTTGGGTCGGAGGCTGTTGATGTCTCTTCCCTGAACACTTTCCGGCCGGTTTTTCCGGCCCTTTGCTTTAAGAGAAATAGTTTACCTAATGCAAACCCTTTAAATTGCCTCGCCGGAAAGCGAACTAGATGTGATTTCAATTCTTGAAGCAGCTCTGAACATCACACAGTCGAAAAAAGACAGTCGCCCAAACAGCATTGACTGCCGAACTCTTGGGAGCACCCAAACCATTCTTTGATTCAGGATTCACCTGCGGATCCCGAAAGCTACCGTGTTAGAAGGGGGTCACGACCTACTATGCTGTGGGGCTTGAGGCCGCAGGTAGGATGAACTAGGGCTTTGTGCGACGCTCTCAGCTGCGAAGACCAATCCCCGAATCCTAAACTAAAGCGCTACACCCCCTAAACCTCTAAACCCTAAAGAACCCTACTCCTAAATCCTGAGCACCTTCACATCGCAGGCCTTGACCCCGCAGAGCTTCAAGACTTCCCGACTGAGGAGCTTGGCCTTAGGCGGTGAGCATTATGGAATCTTCTGCAATACATAACTTGCCTTTCTCCAGGTTTAAACCCTGAGAGCCGCAACATTGGCGGGGTCCCCCATTCAGCGTATTGGGCTCACATGGTATACTTTGAAGGATCATGGGATTTAGTAACTAGGGTTGTAATTAGGGTAACTATACTTATAACCCCAATTAAGGCACTTATAACTTATAACTTACTTACTTACTAAGCCCCATGATCCTACAAGTACGGAGACTATTGGTTAGTCAGGGTGTTGGGTTCGGGCAAAGACTGGTAGCTGCCGCTAAACTTTCTTTCACCACATGTCGAGACTTGGGGCGCGGAGGGTCTATGATGAGGTATGGGCCATCATTTCCAGAACGGGTTCCGGTTTAGAGTGACATGACGATCAGGAGCGGTGTCGATTCCAAAGCCCCCCCCAATAAGTCTCACAGCAAGGGCCCATGCTAAACAATAAGGGGAATTAACAACTATCCCAAGTCGATACCCTAAACCCTAAGCCCTAAACCTTACACCCTAGGGAGGCTTTGGATTTAGTTGTTAAGCTACCATAAAACGGAAAACAAAGTTGTTTGCGATAGACCCCTGTCACGGTATGATAAACCTTGAACCCTAAACCCTTAATTAAAGGAACCCTTATAGATCCCTTAAAGGAACCTTATAGAGCCCTTAAAGGAGCCCTTATAGATCCCTATTTTGGTAACGTAAAGTGATCTGCTGACGAGATGCGAAAAGCTTCGACAGTTCCAACCGCTTCGTTCTCGCCTGTCTCTCGTGGTTGGTGGGTCAGTGCTTGGAGGGTCTTTAGGGGACTTAGTAAGTAGGGGCTCCTTTCAAGGGATTATAAGGGTTCCTTCAAAGGGCTCTATAAGGGTACTACAGGGTTTTTTTTAACCTACAATGGCGGCCTTTCTCCTGCGTACTACAGGGTTTAGGGTTCAGGGACTTAGTAAGTAGGTAATAGGTAGGCAGACTTATAAGTACCCTAAAAGGGTGGAGCACTTGAAGGCCAAAATATATAGGCCTACAATTTGGGTACATGGACCCTTAGGGTACAGGACAGGCGTGACCCAAAGAGCCCAATGCGCCTTAATTGAGGAACAGCCTAAGTTATAGGGGCCTTGACGTTATGGTTTCAGGCGTATTCCTTAATTGCAGGGCACTGGGCTCTGTGGGGAAACTTTAGGATTGAAGCTGGGGTTGCAGGATGCAGCTCTATCCAAATGTCGAATGTACAATCGAAGTGAGGTTTGGCCGGCGAGGGTTCGACTGGTGATCTCGGGGATCAGGCAATGCTTTCTTCATTCCTTCGAGGCCTGTGCAGAGTACGAATGTTACTGTCGATGCCGGTAACCCTTCGTCTTTGAAAAGGATTCTTATGTTAGGGTTACGGTTCTTTGAAATTTTGGGGTAGTATCTCGAATAACTTCTGACACAAACCCTAAGCCCCGAACCGTCGTCATAAAATCAAGCTGTAAAGGAGTAGGACACGGACATGCAAAAGGGGTCCTGATGTAGAGCCTTACTCTAGTGTGCGAGCATCCTAACCGGCTATATGAAGGACTCACGAATTTGGGCGCTTATGCTGGTCAAACCAACCTCCAAAACCCTTTGAACTCCCACGGCGATGGAGTAATCCCATGTATTCAACACCCCCCTAATATAAGAAACACTTTTCGGAAAACCACCTCGAAATCATCCCCGCCTTTTAAGACCTGTTGTGAACTAGGGGGATGTAAGAACAAGAACAGAAGCAAGAGTATCAGCAAGAGCAAGAGCAGGAGCAAGAAGCGCATCAGGAGCTGGAACAGGAGCGAAATCCTCCTCAATGTGACAGCAGTGATAGAGATACCCCTACGAATACACAAAACACTTGTCGAATTTTCCTGTTGGGGGGGAGGGGGCCCTCCCTCCCTTAGATATTGGGGTATAGGGAACTCCAGAAAGTTGGAATATGGTTTCATGGTAGGATACCCTATAATTTACCATAAAAGGGTTAGGATAATCATATTCCAACTTTCTGGCTTTTACATTAAAGCTAAACAGCAGAAGCTGCTCTATCTCGAATGCCCTGGAAAACCAGAATCATTCTGGATTTGCTTCGGCGAGCTGAACTACGTGAGTCCCTGAACCGCAAGCTCCAAACTCTACTAAACCCTCAACCCTATTCCCTTAAGGTAGAAGCCAGAAAGTTGGAATATTATTATCGTAACCCCTTTAAGGTAAATTATAGGGGATCCTACCATTAATCCATATTCCAACTTTCTGGAGTTCCCTTTAACCCCATAGTCCCTGAACCGTAATCTCTACACCAGACGGCCGGCTCTCCCGCTCAAATCGCCTGAGCCGTGCTGCTGCTCCCTGGTGACAGAGGCCCGATCGAGTACCTCAGTTGCTCTATAGCACAACTTGCAATTTGAGAAACCTAACGTCGTGTTCTATGGGGTTCGTGTAGGGGTGCCTCCACGGGTCTTTGGGTTTGGCAATCAACCCAGAGAAGATAAGAACATACATGCTGAAGACCTCCATAGGGGCAACCATGAACCCCCAAAAGCAAAGCCACAAAAGTGCCCAAGCACCGCAAGGATACGAACCCCCATTTGCGGACCCTTCGCTTACTGCCCAAACCCTAAACCCTAACCCCTGGGACCCAAAACCCAAACCCTAAACCAATGTCTTCTACCGACTGACAGGACACCCCCACTACAGGCCAAATTCGAGGGTTGAGAAGTTTAACACTACATAGGCGCAGCACGGCCGGTCATGGCTTCGGCTGGGGAGTCCGGGGAGATGGCTTTGCTTTCGCTGATGAACCATGAGTCGGATAATGCTTCTGCAATTGACAGCATCGTCCAAATATAAAATTACTTCAATATCCGGTACTACTTATCTAAACGAAACAAACTCAAATTACCCCCGACGACGAACGCAACGATCTGACTCAAGTCAACCCGGGTCCTGGAACCCAAGCGACATAGCCATCTCTCGAAAGGAAGCCGGGGAGATGATCTTATTCAACTGGAAAGGCCAACCATTGAAAAGCTGACGCCCATGGTCCAAGACCTCTTCCTGCACGTCACCTAGCCATGCCAAAGGCATTGCTCCCTGCGGTCGTGATCCTCCTTTGGGCTTCGGCGGATAGCTTGAAAGGTCCACTATTTTCCTGACGATGCAAAAGAAGTTGGCTGCCTCGCCCGCCGTGATTCCACATGTGAACAACAAAAATGAGGCCACAATCACATCCCGGGAGCGACGTAGTACGAGCGTCCCAGCCGTCCCGATCGCCAGCTCTTCCCCCCGCAAAATCTGAGGGAGAGCAGGAGGGGATGAAACGAGCAAGCCGACAAAGAGCTCACCCCATGTCTCCTGCTTGCCGAGGTCGCCAATTGGTATGTTGTTACCCACGTCATCCGAGCCACGAGAGCATGAAGAAGAAATCTGGGTCTGCTGAAGTTCAGTGCGCTTCAGCGGCCTGGTCTGTGTTGTACGGGGGTTAAGGTCGAGGGTTAGTTTGCGATGTAGGACCCAGCGGGCCCTGGATTCAAGCGATGCACCATACCTTTATCAGTACAGATGGATCCATGATTGCAAAAGTCCTTCCTCCTCAGTTCAAAACTTGGTTGGTCACTAGAACAGTCCCTTAGGATTGTTCAAGCGCGGTGTACCCTACAAAACAAACCTCCAAGTATACTACATATCCTTGTCAGGCGTATAGGCAGTTCTCCGAAGAGGTCCCCAACATAGTGCGGCACCTTGATAGAAAGGACCCTATTTAGAAGGCCCCTAATTTAGAGAATTACCCATATAGCGCGGGACCTCCAATCCAAACGATAACGCCTTCGGTGCACATGAGCAGGGAGGACAAAGAATAAGTGAGAAAATGAACATACGAAGAATCGTAGGTGCATAGGGTGGGCATGAAGCAACGGTGCATCAGCTATGGCACACTCTGAAATAAAACCTAAACCTTGAGCCGCAAATTGTACATCGTAGCTGGGACGCCGCCAACTCAGCCGCATGCCCGTCGACGCATCGTGCTGGCACCACAAGTTCGGTACAACCATACAACACAACGCGAAAGCCCTAAGCCTATAATTGAAAGCAGACAGACCCGAACCCAAAGTGCCTCTCAACGCCAAAATCTTATAGCCAATGTACTTGAACCCAAGTTTCACAGAACCTAAACCCCTGAACCCAAGTTCCTCAAGATCATGGAAGCCCTTCAACCTGACTCTAAACGCAAAGTCTGGTCGGCGCCTGCAATGCCTTAAAGGTAGCAGACAAGACCGACTCTCCAAATAGGGTTTACCTACAGTTTACAGAATGCCTGCAAAAAAGCAACTACCATGGAAGCTATACTAGGATACCCAGTAACCTAAGAATAAAAAGGCCTCTCTTTTTGGTATTGGGTAACTTTATAAGGAACCTAGGACTACAAAAAGGGAATAAGGGTATTACTGGGCATCCTAGTATAGGTAGGCACGCCAGACCAAGCCTCAGTTTCCACACCCTTCTGAGGCTCGCCACTGACTCGGGGAGAACGGAACGCTATGGACTGATGCACGATGCCCTGCCGTCACCAGAGGCTCCAATATCCCTTAATTGAAGAATATAACTTAAATCATATGAGGAATCCTACTATAATTTAAGGTATATTCCTGAATTCAGGGATATCGGAGTCTCTGGGTCTAAGTGCTAGGGGATTACATTTTTGGGCTTTGATTCCGGGGATGAGGAGCTTATTTCAGCGTCCTGAGCTTAGCGAGCCTACTTTAAGGTCCATGGAAATTAAAAACTGTGGTTTTAAGTAGGGTAACTTTAATTAACAACCCCAGATTAAGGGACTTCTAACCCTACTTATAACACCCAGGGACCTCCAAGTAGGGTTCGTGGTAGCTTATAGCCTGACATTCCAGGGCCTAGGCTCTAAGGTAAAGTTGGTAATATAGGGGCCTTAATAATGGGAATACGGTTTTGGGATATATTGTACTTTGTTCCTATAATTGGGAACTCCCCCATTCTTCAAGCCGCTAGGGTATGTTTAACAGTTTGGGGTACCTCATTGAAGAGTCCTTCTACCAGTACAGGATCCTCCTGTCGTATCTAGTATCTGAAACTCCCATCGTGGGCAAGCGCTGTTAACGAAGTGTCTTCATTGCTAAACTGTTTCTTCTAAACCCTACACCTTGAACCCCTAAACCCGAAACCTAAAGCCCTAAACCCCTACGCCAACATGACGCCGTCTTACTGCTAGTGTGACTATAACCGACTTCTCTGTAGGTTCCTATGAGGAACTCTAACCTTAAGGACGAAATGAAACCTGAAATAGCTCCAGGTTCATGTACCATAGAAAGATTCATAAATATTAGGTATGATTCATAACTATGGGGGTATAAGGCTCCTACATCAAAGGATCATGTGGTCCCCGAGGAATACCTTAACCTACCAAAACATCTGAAAAAAAGTAGGGTCCCTATAAATTCCATATTAGGGTTTATATGAGAACCTGCAAAACAATAGGGTTTGCTAGGTTAAGGTATGAACTATTTTGGCCGGCTGCCTTTACGCGAAACCTCAGTCGCTGGGGGACTTATAGCCCTACTTATAACTACCCATGAACCTCCAGGTAGAGCTTAAGGTCTCGGTTTCAGGGCTTAGGGTGGTTCTTACGGTATTGAATTTGCGGTTTTTGGGGGTTAAGGTTTGGGTTTTGGGGCGTACTTAAAGTTTTTTCAGCTTATAGAGGGTTTAGGTTTAGGCCTATCATGATGTCCTTTGTAACCGCTCTTGCAATAGACACCAATTCTGAGGCACCTGAGCCTGCATCACTGCCATCGATGCTGGCCCGGTGGTAGTCCTGTGGGACTGTTTGTCGTTTACGGTTTATATCCCAGACAGCCGCCATACAGCCCACATAGGTAGGTAGTTGTCAAAAATTAAGGTCCCTTTTTGGGTAACCTAAATAATAGGTGCCACTTTATAATAGGGACCCAGAAAGTGACCATAGAAGTTCTCAATAAGTTGACCGTTGACCGAACTTCGCCAGTCCCATGTTACAGTTATGTAAACATCCTGGACGACAAACGAGGAGAGGTCGTCTCAGGGGATGAGGCCGAAGGGGAATAGACTTTGAACGCATCAGTTGCCAAATCAAGTCGGAAACCCTGGACTGTAAAAGCAAACTGAACTACACGGTTTAGGGTTTAGGGTTTAGGGTTTAGGGTTTAGGGGCTTCCTTGTGTAAGTCCTGCATGTTGTTAGGGAAACCCCTGAACTGGCTAAACACTACCCGACAGTCCTCCGCGTGCCCGGCGCTGAAGTACCTGGCACATGTTCTCGTTGGATTTGGCTCGCGATGATTTGTCGTAGGGCCTAGGTTCCAGAGTAGTGCAAACCCTGGTTGATGAACCTCAACCTGAACAGGAGTATAACGGGGGTCTTATATAATCCAACCGAAACCAGCCCTTACATTAAGGACAGGGATTATCCATCAGGAGTCTGCATGAATGAAGGGTTCAGGGTGGAGGAGTTCCGAATTGCTTCGAGTACGTCGGGCTTCCAGATTCGGCCTCGTTTTGGGATTGCTAGAGACCCTACAGCCCTACAACCTGAGATGTCGGTGTTGAGGCTAGACCCTTGAACCGCCATGTCGGGAGCTCATGTTTTTCGAGGGCGGTCCCGGCCATGACCTGGCAGGGAGGCCTTGAACCCTTCGACTTGCAGAAAGGGCAGCATGCCTTTGATTGACAATGCGCCCATAAGTAGCCCTAAACCCTAAACACGAGGTTCCCCAGTAGCCCCATAAGAATGAGGGTGCCCTTTTTACGCCTGGTCGGCTTTAATTTGTAATAAGGGAGCCCACAAAGAAAGGGTACTACTCAGGAACCTTACACAAGTAGGGTCAGTTTTCAGGCTATGGCCCAAGCAGAGACCACCATTCTGACCATTACTTGCATGGGAGATTGACAGAGCGACAGAGCCCAGGGCGACCTGCAGGAAAAGCTGAGTATCATGTCAAGAACCTTCCAGACAAGATGTGGCAGTACTAGTAACTACAGTGGTGGTACTATTGCTGGTAGTGGTGGTAGTAGTAGCAGAAGTAGTTGTAGAGATATCGGTCTGGCAGGTGCCAAAGCTGCCGTTTAGAGTTCAAAGCTTTCGGGTTTCTGCTAACCCGAGAGATCGTCACCCGCAGACCAGAAAGCCTGCGCGCCTAGACCGTAATCCCTAAAACATCCAAACCGCGGTCGTGGCCTGGATGTAGAGTAGAGGCCCAAACGATCCTGAGGATCCGTCCTGCGGACAGCGTTTTATACAGGATTCTACAGTGCTTTATAGGGCTTTATAAGTGCAGGGAACCATGACATGTGCCAGCTTCACTACTGTAACAGTTCCTGAAATCTCCCAAAGTGGCGACTTCCACGTCTGCGGAGCAGGTTCTGCTTTCTTCACACTGGCTGTCTTTATATTGGGAGGCTAGCCTTCGAGCATGACCTAGCCTTGTACATTCTCAAACGTCACTTTTCTCTGTTTCCCTACAAGAGCAGGCTGGACGCGACAGCATCTTTTAGCCATTTGTGAAACATCCTTTGTAAGCATGAGGAACGACCAAGCTCCGCACATGCCCGTGACGTAGTCGTAGTGCTCCGGCGGATAGATGTCGACAGGTGTCAAGGCAAGAGTGCATGCCCTGATGGCGAAGGGCTTGATGACGTTTGAATCGGCTTGACGGCTTAATTGCACTAGCACCGGTGTAAACAAAAACTACAATCTTTCTGCTCCCTCTGTCTCTGTAGTACTGTCCTTGTACCAATATAATGGACACCTACTATTCGGCCTTCCTGACTTTGAAAACCTGAACTTTTGAAATGGTGGCTTTGGTAAATGGTTTTCTAGTCGGAATTACGGCACCCACTAAAACGTTTGTTTTACAGAGATGTTAATGAAGATTAGGATGCCCACTAACATATGAAACTCAAGACTGCGAGGCGAAACTCCACAAGAGACACCATGAGACCACAAAATCGAGGTCACAATAGTAGAATGTATAACTGCATGTTCAATGTTTAAGTTTTGAAGAAATTTATATGTATACTTGTAGTCATTTAAATAGCTACAGGTTCGGCCTCCCGGGCAAGAAATGCAAACCTCCGCGATCCAACTCCCAAACCCTACATCCGCCTAAACAAACCCCGAGCCCAAAACCGCACTAAAAGACCCCCAAAACCCCAAAACCCACCCTAAAAATCCACAAACCCCAAAACCCCCCCCCAACCCCCCCTAAGCCGCCTAAGCCCCCAAAACCACTAAAATCCCAAAACCAAGTCCTAAACCGCAAATCCTCAGGCTGAAAGCTGGGCAGCGGGCGCGCGAGGATCCAGGAAGCCTCGCGTCTGCTCTAAATCCGAGGCTCCAAAGCCTCCTAACTAAGGAATATACCTATAGGGGGTACTATAATTATAAGGGAATATTAACTAAGGAATATACCTATACTATAGTTATAAGGGAATATGAACTAAGGAATATACCTAAAAGTAGTATAATTATCAGGGAATATTAACTAAGGAATATACCTAGGGGTACTATAATTATAAGGGAATATTAACTAAGGAATATACCTAAGGGTACTACTATAAGGGAACTATAAGGAATACATCTTGAATCAGATTAGGATTCCTATTAAGATTTAAGGTACATTCCTTAGTTAAGGGCTTTCGGAGCCTCTGGAAAATCCCGAGAAAGTCAATGAAGATCTAATTGATCTAATGTAAAATATCACGACAAAGATGAAAGGAATCCACAAGGAATCACAGCACGAGTTCTCCCGAAGCCCCTCTTTATTCTGCCACGTCACTTTGGAGAAAGGCGAGGACAAAGTGAGCCCCAATCTGCGGCACACCATCCACCTTTGGAAGATCGCGCGGACCGATTGAGGACCGTACCGATTGAGGACCGAGGGTGAGTTAACAATTGAATTCGCTCTGAAGTCCTGCAGCTCGTCAACTCGCGACGGAGACCGAGCTAGCCTATTCATACGACGTAGCAACACACTTCCAAACACAACGGCATAAAGGCTACTGCCAGTGCTTCGGCACACCCAATAACAAGCTTCAAGGTTGGGTGCTTTCAACCCTAAACCTTAGAAGCTGCCCCCACCCTGTAATAGTGACTTTAAGGATTATATTACGGCCCTATTAGATTCCTATTATACCACTATTACAGGGTGGGGGCAGCTTCTAACCTAAACCCTCAAACTCTGAACCCCAGAGTCGCTTTAGCGCCTAAAAACAGCAACCGGGAAGCCCTAGACTTGCAAAGCCCTCCGAAAACAGGGGGCCCTAATTTAGTACCCTAAATAGTAGGATCCTTATTATAGGGACCCCCAAATAAGATACCCCGAATTGTCGGAAACCTGTGACCCCAAACATCCCAAAATCCTTCTCCTCCTGCTGCTGCGTACTACTACTGCGACAACGACGTCGACCACTAGGTCCAACTCCTACTACTACTACTACTACTACTACTACTACTACTACAACTACTGCTACTACTGCTAGTACTGCTAGTACTGCTAGTACTGCCACTGCTTCTGCTACTGCTGCTGCTGCTTCTGCTGCTGCTACTACTGCTGCTACTGCTACTACGATACTACTACAACCACTACTACTGCCACTTGTGACTGCTTATACCTGCATTACCCATAAGGAATATTGTCACCAACCGTGCTGATATCTGTCATGTCTTTGCCCAGGCACTGAGGTCCGCTGCCCCGATGCTGCGAGGCGCATGCGTGGTATCGGCGAATCTTTGCCGCCTGAAACATCCCCAGAGACTCCAACATCCCTTAATTAAGGAATATTCCTACCATAATTTGAAGTAATTATGTTCCTCATTAAATGATATTGGAGTCTCTGGGTCTTCAGAAACCGGTGACGCAGGTGTGTGAATGTGTGCAGATCGAGAGGCAGGTGAATTCTGAAAGGGTGCCGCGTCTTAAACTCAGGGTAAGGAGCTTTGAAGATTGATCTTCCGAAGTACCACAGTACATTCAGTACATCAGCGAGATGAGAGTTGCGCCGTAGTAGCTTCTTCTTCGTCCGTGGAGGACTCGAAATACAATAGATGTGGGTAGTTGTCGAAACTATGGTCCCTTTCTGGAGGACCCTAATCTTACTACCCCAATAAGCCACAAAAAATCACAGGTTAAACTTTCTGATTCCTACTAAACTATAAGAACCCCAAAAGCTTAAAGGCTAGGTATTGGGGATCTAAGTAATATGGACAACAACCCATCCGAAATTTACGAGGCGGGCCTTTCCAGCTGAGTCGAGCAGGGTTAACATAATATACCAGGCTGTTCAGTAACCCACTGGGAAAAAGTATATAGTTTTTTTAGGCTTCTTATTTTGTAATAGGATACCAGAAACCTGAAAGTAAAAAAGTCTACCACTGAACAGCCTGGATTAGTAAATTTGTTTGTTGAGACGGGCCTGTGGAGGTATGGAGGGTCTATTTACATGAACATCCTATTAGTCGAAGCCCTTCAGCTCTTGCCCTCAACCTGGGTTTTTTCAATTTTTTTAAGCCCTGAGACAGCCTCGCAGCAACACCTTGAAGCCGGTGAAGACCTGGGGCAAATGGGGAGGCCGCTGGGGTCAAGGGTTTAGGGTTTTAGGGTTTAGGGTGAAGGGCAGTGCGGCAGTGCAGGAGAACAAACACTTGCATACAACCATCGCAATAATGCCAAATACAGCCGAAGAAGCATCCTATAGTGTGCAGCCGGCAAGGGCCTACGATGCTTTGATTCGAATCTGTCCTGTCGCTGCTACGACGACTGGAACTGGTAGCCTTTTTGGAAAGGTGATACTAATGATGAACAGTCTGATGACTGTCATGCCAGTCACACCCCTGCATTCTGAAGAGGCTCTGTTGTTGTGTTTTGAATTAGCGTGGTTAAAACTGATACTGGTGTTGCGTTCTTGCAAAACCCGCATCGCCGTCGAAGTCGTAGCCACAGTTCCGATGGCATGCATAGTAAATGTGGTGGAAGGAAGTGTAGTACTAGTCGTTGAAAAAATGCGTTAGCAGAAATCGAATCATAATCGTAGTCCTCGCAATCGACGAGTAGACTTTTCAATACAAGGGGACTGACTATGACGATAACAGTATTAGCCCCAGTATTAGCAGCCGCAGCAGCTTTAGAAGGAATCTCTGTCGTCATGTAAGGTAGTTTTTGTCTTATCAACGCGGTCCTCGTCAACATCTTGGCAGTAACAGTTGAAGTCGTCAAGGACGCACCGGCATAAGTAATACAGGGGCCTTACTACTTACAATAGGGTTTCGGGGGGTCCTTATTATGGTTATAGTATGATCTACTCCCCGAACCCTATTCCAATTGTTAAGGATCCTCTTCTACACTACGGTGGATGATAGAAATCCTGCATTACCCATAACAAGGAATATACCACAACTCCCATAGTTTAGGGCCCTTAAGGTAATGCAGGATTTATATCATCAACCGTAGGGGTGCTCCGGATGATGAAACCTGTCGTCTTCGTCCTCATCACCTGGGCCAGAACCACACAATGCACTCAGCTACCCCGAAACCAGGGTTTAGGGTTTTACTTGGAGGGTCGGGGGACTTAGAAACTGGTTCTTTTAGGGACTTATAAGTACCATAACCACTATTAGGGTCCCTTTTAGGGTACTTATAAGTCTACATACTACCTACTTACTGAGTCCCCCGACCCTCCAAGTAGGGTCCTAAGCCCGAAACCCCGAAACCCGACACCCTGGGCCCTACCCTATACAAAACCCTAAAACAAAGCCCCAAACGCGAGAAGCCTAAGCACTGAACCCTCTATCAAAGGGGAAAAGGAGGGACCCTTAATGGGGACCCCTACCCTATAATGGGCTATATCATGGGTATATAATTGCTATTTTAAGGGTATATACAGGTCCTTATTAAGGGTCCCTCCTTCTCCCCTTTGACTCTAAACCCTAGAAGCCAGACAAACCCTATTACACCCGGAACTTCGAACCATATAAACCCTGAAGCTATCTGGTTCTTCGTAAGGAATGGGGGAATGGATCCCTGTAGTAGTCCCTATATATTCCCCAATGATAATCAATGATAGTCTCCATAATCCATTCCCCCATTCCCTACTAAGCACCAGACAGTGAAACCCCAAGCCCAAAACAGTAAATCAAACCCTATAAACCCTAAAAGCAATACAAACCCTACTAAACCCTGAACTTCAAACATTGAAACCCCAAGCCCAAGAACCTTTCGATGGCCTCCACGTGTCGCAAAACGCTCTCGAGGTGGATCAGTCTCAGCAGCTGCCTCGTTCGGACAGAGAAAAGCTTTGGTTTAGCACCAGCAGAAACTCTGCAAAGCATGCCTTCTTTAGGAGTCCTCATTATGATTTCATGAAAAAGAGTGGGTTATTTGGGGCTTCAGGTAGGATTCAGGTTGTATGCTTTAGGTTTTAGGTTTAGGGGTTTTGGGTTTGGATCGAGGACTTGAAACTGACTGGGTTGAGAGCCTGGGGCCTATAAGCCTACCTACACCATGTCAGTTGTCTACATTACAATCTTGGCTGACTTCCGAACCCCTCCGAAAAGTTGAACTTTTAGCCTTCTTGTTATAGTCCATATAGAAACCCAAAAAGTTATAGTCCTAACAGCCAACCAGAAGAACGCCAAGTATTTGCGATCCTAAGCGGCATTCAAAACGGAACTGCAATGAAGACCACAGATAAGCTCAAAAACCCTAAGCCCTTCGTTCGAGCCTCGAGAAATGGCTCACGACTAGTGGTAAGGTGCACTCAAGTCTCTGCCTGCGGATCCCGAAACCTCCTGTTTTCGGCATTCCAGGGTTTGTGGGCTTACGTGTACTTGGAGGGTCGGGGGACTTAGTAAGTAGGTAGTAAGTAGACTTATAAGTACCCTAAACGGGTCCCTAATTGGGGTTATGGTACTTATAAGTCCCTAAAATAACCAGTTTCTAAGTCCCCCCGACCCTCCAAGTAAGGTTCAGGATTCAGCTGGCTTCGGGCTCGTAGTTGCGATTTGAGTTGGCTGAGTTACTGCATAAGTCTACCCTGAGGGTCCATGTACCCATATAGCATCTACATTGGCCTTAAAGTACTTTAAATGAAACACGGAGTACATCCCTAAACCCCAAACCCTAACTGCATAGGCTGCATAGGTCTACATAGGTAGCTGGGCTTCTAGGGTATGTTCTGCGACAACAATCATACGCCGACCATAACGGCAAATGAGGTAGCCAAAGCCTCCCAAACCCCTCAAATAAGGAATATGCCTCAAATCATACTAGGGATCCTATTGTGATCTCAGGTATATTCCTTCATTAACAGGTTTTGGAGGATCTGGGTAGCATGAGATAGCTGTTGGTGGTCAGTCTTTGCTCAGCCAAAGGTTACGGAAGCAGGATTGATTAAACATTCAGGCCTTTGATTCATTCAGGTTAGAAGCACTGATATTGGCCTAGCCTAACTCAACTCATGTGTTGACGAAGTGACTCGTCATCACCCACGATCACGATGTGAATGAGGTTGGCCGTGTTTGGCCGGAACCTTGGTTAAATCTTATCCCTACTTGTCGGGTATCACGGGGAACTATAAAGGTTAACCTTTTTGGTTATGTAGGAATTATAAAGGGGCTATACTACCAATAAAAGGTTAAAGGTTACCTACTCTACTGCTAGGTATCAGGCAAATGTCGTAGCTGAACCTCTAAGACTCTAAGCTCGAAGACTCCATGTACCTATACACTAGGCCTCAAAGTACCTATACAAGGACCCCTTTAAGGCCTAAGTGTATGCTGTATAGGCACTTGGAGCCTTAGGGTAACCTGAGCACCTACTGTTTTGTAAGCTTTGGGGCTACAGGTATGCCCTAAGCCCCGAACAAAGCCCTCACCCACCGAAAACCGAGGCGCAAAGGCTGTCAGCTGCGATCCTAAACCCCGGGTACCTGATTTCGTGGGTTCTTTAGACCGTTTCCGTAAGGGTCCATGTACCCAACTAGTACATACTTTGGCCTTTAAAGTACTCCCTATGTAGGTACATTGGGCCCAGAAGTATGTACTTTTTGGGTACATGGACCCTTTAGGTTTATGCATATGGGGTCTTACTTATGGTAGAATGGGCCCCCAAACCCTATTCTCCTTGCGTTCCTTCCGTAGCGGGTTTTTAGGATTTTAAGCTGCAGAGCTTCCTGTTAGAATTCTCTGAGGGTGCAATGGAGGGTTCTGCATTTAGGGTCCTAGGGTCCAGGGTTCTTCAAGGCTTTGAAGTGTTTAGTTCTTTTCGGGCTCGCGGATCTGGGATTTTGCGTGCTGAATGTCTGAAGGGTGCAATACTTGGAGGGTCGGGGGACTTAGGAACTGGTTATTCTAGGGACGTACAAGTACGATAACCCCAATTAGGGTCCCTTTTAGGGTACTTATCAGTCTACTTACTACCTACTTACTAAGTCCCCCGACCTTCCAAGTAGTTGAGGGTTGTGAGGTATGTGATTCTCTGCATACATCCTGTTCTTAGTATGACATAGGTTGGTGGGCGGTTGCCTGGTCTTATGAACAAGGTTGTAAGTACCTGCATTGGGGTTATAAGTACTTGCAACTATAGATACCTTCTGTTGAACACCCTTTTCCGCGATCCCACAAGTACTAGACCATGCAGCGCGAATGATACGCTTAAGCCAAGGCTCAACTTTTTAAGTCAATGCCATGGCGCCCCTCTTCGGTTTCGATGTTATAAGTAGTTACCTTAATTGGAGTTGTAAGTACTTATAGCTATATGGCTACCGCATTCAAAACCCTAGTTACCAAGTACAACGATCCTTCAAGCAGTTTTGAAGGCTTAAGGCTATAAACCCTAAACCCTAAACCCACACCCTAAACCACGGTATGCTGATGGCAGAAAGGCTGTAAGGCTGCTGTACATGGACAGCCAGGCAAACCTGCCTTTCTAATTTTCCTATACTGAACTTAGACCCCCAGCAACAATTATACTTTTAGCTGTTTCTTTAGGGGCTATCATGTCCAAAGATAAAAACTTTTTCAAGGTACCCCTAAGTATCGACCTCTACAAGGAAAGCATGATCAGGAAGCCCGAGACGGTACAAGTAGGGTTTGTAGGGCTTCAGGTGGCCCTTAAGCCTGCTCCACTGCCACGGTTGATGATATAAATCCTGCATTACCTTAAGGACCACTAAACTATGGGAATTATGGTATATTCCTTGTTATGGGTAATGCAAGATTTATATCATCAACCGTACTGCCCTAAACTTCCCATCAACCCTCAAACACTCGGCAAACAAAAAAATACTGCACGAAAGCTTAAACTGCACCGCAAACCGTATAAGCACACCCTGAAGACCCCAAAACCGTAAGCCGTATAAGTCCGTAGAAGCCCAGAGGCCGCGAAACCCTATAGTCTTGTTGTATACAACAACACCTGATTCAACAAACATCCGAAAATCATATCTTCATCAGTTCAACTTAAACTGCCAAATTCAGACCTCTTCTGCACACCTCCAAAACACAAACATCGACAAGCCTAAATCCTAAACCCCAAGTGCTTTACCCTTAACCTTGATAGGACTATACCCAGAACATGTTGAGAGTGGTACAACTACCCGAACATACGCATCGGGATAATTAGCAAGAGCATACGCTGCAAGTCCATAAACGTAACTATGCCATGGTGTCAAATATGCCCTCTTCTAATCCCCTAGACCCTGAACCCTGCAACAGGCATGACACAGGCCGTAGTTGCTACTCAGCCGAGTGATCCTACACACCTCCTTGTAGAACCCTTAACATATCTATAGTTACTAAGTCCCTTGATCCTTGAAAGGAACGCCGAGGCACGGCATGGCCCGCTTGAAGTCTTCGAAAGACTGGCATTTCTGATATTCCTCTTTAGGATTCCCGAAGGGTCCACGTGCTATAGGGTTCTAGAGTCCTCTTTAAGGCTACCATAATGTTCCATAATAGGGTCCTGTGTACGCGCGCCATAGTGTTCTATAATAGAGTCCCGTTTAAGGGTACCATAAGGTTCTATAATAAGGTCCCCTTTCTTTGAAGGGTACCATAGGTTCTATTTGAGGGTCCCAGTTAAGGACCATAAGGTTCTTGAGTAGGGTTGCCTTTAAGGGCACTGCAGGGCGCTAGAGTAGGGCCCCCTCTAAGGGCACTACAAGGTTTATAATAGGGTCCTTTAAGGATCCAATGTGCCCAAATAGTCCCTACATAGGTACATTGGGCCTAGAATATATACTGTTTGGTTACATGAGCCCTTTGGGATTTACAGTGTTTGAGATTTAGGACTTAGGGCTCAGTGTTTGGATCTGTCTGTGTGTATATGTACGTGTATATACATATATATATATATATATACATATATATATATATATAGTAAACCCTGAACCCTCAAGCGAGGGTTTTGAGGTGCAGGATCTAGGCTATACAATTCACTGCTTCGGGGTTTAGTGCGCTCAGGCTCTTAAGAGGTCCTTTATGGATTCAAGTACGGGTGGCTATAACCGCACATGTAAGAGGTATTGTAGTTACTTTGGGTTACTGGGCGGAGACCAGCGGGACCACTGTGAGGCAGTATGAGCAGCAACCCCCAAACCCTGAACCTCTAGATCAAAATTTTATAGGGTTTTGGGGCCCGCTATACTACAGTTACAATCAGGAAACCCCAAAGCAGCCTTGGGAAGTATTCAAGCCCCCTATATACTAGTACCCTTATAGATCCGCGCCTTTATAGACCCCTATAAAAGTACCACAGGAACCCTATATTCATCCCTTTACTTCGCGTCCTCCCACCAGGAAAAGCGCGGTGACCGCAAGGTCCACGCTTTGGCTGGCTCCCGCAATGCCTTCGAAATCGCAACTTGGACTTGGTACCCTAAACCCTAAACCCTAAAACCCTAAACCCCTATAAACCCTAAACCCCTAAACCCTAAACCCTCATTCGTGACGTCACAAGTCGCCTAGTATGGGTTGTAAGTATAGTTACCCTACATTTCGCCCCACTGATAACTACCCATCAACCTCCAAGTAAGGATCCATGTAACCCTAAACCCTAAACCCTAAACCGTAGGGCTCCCTTAAAGGATTCCTTTAAGGGCTCTATAGGAAACTCCAGAAAGTTGGAATATGGTTTCATGGTAGGATCCCCTATAACTTACCTTAAAGGGAGTATGATAATGATATTCCAACTTTCTGGCTTCTACTGTAAGGGGGTTTAGGGTTCAAGAGACCATGTATCCATATAGTATATACTTTGGGCCCAATGTACCTCTATACGGAGTACTCTAAGGCCCACGTTTTGTACTATTTGGGCACATGGACCCTTATAAGAGGGATGTTGCACATCTACTTCTGGGGCCCCCAAGCCAATGTGGGTAGCTGTCAAAATTAGGGTACTTTTTAGGGTACCCTGAATAATAGGTGCCGTATTATAACAGGGTCTGAACCTTAAAACGGTAGGTTTTTGGATCCCCAGGTATGAACCCCTCACAAGCCCCCAAAACCGTCTCGCAACAACCACCCATGTAAGTGTGGGAGGGCAACCTTAAGAGGGATATCGACTCCGGCTGCAAGTGAAATCTTCAGATGTTTCGGACCCAGAGACCCAAATCTCCCTTAACTAAGGAACATTCCTCAAATCATAGTAGGGATCCTACTATAATTCGAGGTATGTTCCTTAATTAAGGTGTTTCGGAGTCAACCCTAAACCCTAAACCCCTAAACCCTAAACCCCTGTCTCTGGCGACATCATAGGGGGCGTGCCGGGCACTTGAAAGCCCTGGTAGAAGTCCCTGAGCTGACATACTTGGAGGGTCAAGCGGGGATTAGGGGTTCCTTTAAAGGGCTCCAAAAGGACACTATAGGGTTTAGGGTTTAGGGGTTTAGGGACTTAGTAAGTAGGCAGTAAGTAGACTTATAAGCACCCTAAAAGGGACCCTAATTGGGGTTATGGTACTTATAAGTCCCTAAAATAACCAGTTTCTGAGACCCCCGGCCCTCCAAGTAATGGTTCTGTCCCGAAAAGGTGCGACTCACTGCCGGAGGTAGGAATTTAGGATCTAGGCTTCAGCGTTTAGGATGGCTCAGTCCAGGGTTCCGGATCAAAACATGCATTCCCCTAAGGGTCCATATACTCATATAGTATAACATTGACCTTAATGTAGTCCCTATATAGGTACATTGGGGCCCATGTATCTCTATATATGGGTACATGGACCCTTAGGGTTCGATAATTTCGTACAAGAATAAGATGAGAACTACCCTCATAAACTTGCAACAATTTGCAACGCCTTCCTGTATGATTTCAACATCTCGCACACCCCTACATTACCTCAGAGATGAAGCTCCAAGGAAATCAGCTTAGACTCCAACATGACAGTTCGGCAACCCCAAACCTACATGCAAAACCTAAACCCTAGAACCCTAGATCCTGAACCATGAACTCTTCGAACTGAAACCCTATAGAACCTAAATGGTTTAGGGCTTGGAGTCGAAGGTTTAGGGTTTAGGGTTGAGGCGGTTGAGGGTTCAGGGCTTGGGGTTGAAGGTTCCCTAAACCCCAAACCCTAAACTGAAGGTTTCGATTCTTTCCGCCGCCTGTTTCACCCGCCAGGACTCACCGACGAGGGAGCCGATGGCCAAGCGAACGAGATCCCATGGGTCCTGGAGGGTTCCTTTGGGGGGGTTCCTAATAAATTATTAGGAACCCTTTAACGAAGCCATTATTAGTAATAATGGTTTCTTTATTAAAGAAACCATTATTGCAAAAATTACAGGGTTCCTAATAAGGGTTCTTTGGAGGGCTCTACAAGGGCTGTAGTGCTTAGGACCTGTTCCTGGGTAGTTTTAAGTGGGCTTACAGGTATGTCGAGTTACTGTAGTTATAATCCATATCAGAGGACTTTTTACCCTACCAATAACTACCCATGAACCTCCAAGTAGGGAATGAACCTCAAGGTACTCTACAAGTAAGTTGCCTGGTGAGGCTGTGGCGGGAAGGAGTGAACATCGGTGACTATACCTAGGATACCCAGTAACCTAAGACTAAAAAGGCCTCTCTTTCTGGTATTGGGTAACTTTATAAGGAACCTAGGACGACAAAAAGGGAATAAGGGTACTACTGGGCATCCTAGGTACTGTTTAGGGCTTAGGGTTCTTACAGTCTCCCCAGGTGCCATGGTAAAGTTCGGATTTCAGTTTTTAGGGTTCCCCATGGTAAACCCCAAGCCCGAAACAAGGCAAGCCCAAAAGACACCCTAAACCCTAAACCCTGCAAATCCCCAAACCACCAAAGAGCTCCGAGCCCTGAACTGTCAGGCAAAACGCCCTACATAACCCAACTTGACCAGGACAAGCGACCTCAGGCGGCTCGTAGTTCGGAGCCATTTGGGAGTTTCCGAAAATGAGGGGTACCTTATTTTGGGGGTCCTTATAAGAAGGATCCTACTATTTAGGATACTATATTCGGGTCCCCTATTTTCGGAAACTCCCATTTAGAGTTCGGGACTTAGGGTGTTTGGGGACGCGAGGTTTCTAGGGTATGGGGGTCTGGGTTCATGTTTCGGCTTAGAAAGTGTAGGGGTGTAGGGTGGTGGGGCTTGAATTAGGGATTTTTTTTGTTGGGGTTTGGGCCGAGTGTAGACAAGTCAGTAGAGGCTACGGGCATGAGTGCTCCTAGGTCTAGGATTAGAATGTAGGGTGTGGGGACTCTAGTTCGAGGCAAACCATGCGTTCTAACCTTAAGCTCTGATTCCCGTAAGGGCCACTTGAGCGTGGGCCTGAAGCGTTTAGGCTTTATAGGTGTTCGGCATTTGATTCGGTTTCTTAGGGTTTGCGGTCTCGAGTTTAGGGTCTGCGGGGTTCAGGTTCATGATCTGGGGTTGAGCATCATCCGCTACTACAAGAATATGCAAAAGCTTGAGCGAGCCGGCGAGAACATGCACGTCAAGCGCAACTAGAAAGCTGAGTTGAACGTGACAGTTCAGTTGCCAAAACAGGGTGAACACAGGCAACACGTAATCAGTGAGAGACGGAAATCTGCAGATGCGATCGAAGGTAGGGGGAATACTATAGGGGCCTTAAAAATTAGAACAGGGTTTTGGGACCCGTATTAAAACATAACAAAGTCCCCCCCATAACAGGCTTGGTAATTCTTAAGGCCCCTTATCTTATTCCGACCCCAAAGTTGGGGTTTCAGAGTTCAGGTTTGGTTAGAGGGGAAAAGGAGGGACCCTTAATGGGGACCCCTACCCTTTAATGGGCTATATAATGGGTACATAATAGCTGTATAAAGGGTATATACCTAGGGGTCGTTATTAAGGGTCCCTCCTTTTACCCTTGGATTTGGGGTTTGAAGTTGGGGCTACATTTATAGTATCCTTATGGGCGGGGGGGCTCCAAAGGGGGTAGATAAACTAGTCATCCCTTGTTCTCTCGAGTGCTCCCTAAGGTTCCTTTTCGGTTCCCCAAGGATCCCTTGTACACTCCCCTTTGACTAAACCCTAAACCCCTGAACCACCCTCCCCTAAGGCTCCATGTACCCATATAGTATATACTTGGGCCTTAAAGAGGTTCCTATATGGGTACTTTAGGGTATAAGTATATACTATACATGGAGCCTTTGGGCTCGCTTAAGGATACATCCTAGAAAGCACGGAACTCCGGGGTGCCCACATCGAGCGCTTAAAGGACGCACACGGATGATGGTAAGAAATCCGAGGGTTCCTTTTACAGGGATCTATAAGAGTACCTTTAAGGGGTTCCTTTAAGGGATCTATAGGGCTTTAGGGTTTCGGGCCAAGGGTTGATGATATAAATCGCACCAAGACCACAGGATGTTTGCGAAGTCATCCGGCCCAAGATGCAATTTAGATTCTCGGTCTTCCAAGCTCTACCTGCAGTTAAACCTGGGGGAACCGGAAGGGGTAGTGCTCACAGTATCATTCAGTAGATTCTTGAAAAAGCAACTAACAAGCATGATGCTGACCATGAACATCTCAGCCCCTGTATATGTGTTGCTTTATTTGAGTCTGGGCTGTGACAAGTCAGCCCAAGCAAGGCAACGCAACACCTAAAGTATCATAGTTGTGGGAGCCAAAGGAACGGAAGCATGCCATCTTGATGGTAATCTCTGGGGCGGCCTAGTTTTCTCTTCCCCCAACCGCGAAACCCCAAATCTTATATTTAGTCTATGTGCACCTGGCTTCTCATGGCTTCAAATCCCTTGAGATATCAACCTCCAATAGCAGCAGATGCGGTACTGGTATCTGATTCTTCTTGCTCCGATTCGAGCCAACCCTGCATTAAAAAACACATGCGAATCTGAGCGCCATCGGGAGAACCTTCGATAAGGCAAAGGCCTGCATGACCAACTGTTTGTGAACTCATGAGCGAGGTCCTTCAGGATTTCGATGTCGGGAAATTATTGCCGACAAGTTTGGCGTTCAAGGTCGTATAAGCCTGTGCTATAACCCAAAACCTTAAATCATATGCCATACATGCCCTGAAGGTATGACTTATAACTCATACAACCGAACAGCATGAAGTGCATCAACTCGCCGTAGGAGCAGTATGTGTACACCTTTACAGAACCCTTGTAGCACCCTTATAGAACCCTCATAGGAGGACTTTTTATGTCACGATCCTGAGTCTCTCTCACGGACCTCATGAGAGCTGTCGAACGGCACGCTTGGCGTCCGTCTTGGGTGCAGGGTTAGGTTAGGGCTCATGCAAGAGGAGGCATGCTGCTGTGTGGAAACTGATAGCAGGGAAACTATGTTAGCATGCCATGGTGCATGCATGACCTCCCCAAATCTTCAGTCTTGGCGCATATGCAAGTTTACTTCATGTCACGACAACGATAGAGGGGGGGAATGAGGCAAAAGACTTGGTCTTGCAGCAGCAACAGCTGCTGACAGCTTGCTCCAGAAAATCGAATGCCACGCCGACCGAGAGCTTGGCATGGCGAGGTATTGGCAAGCCGAGAAAATCCTCAAGCATCCCCCGAAAATTGCCACCAAGGTGGCCGGTTTCGTGCAAATTTAAAAACTTCCTGGAACTATTCTAGAACAGGCAGCGAAAAATGACCGCCCAAATGCAAAGCCACGGTTAGGAAGGCCGGACGTAGACGATCTTTCACTACCTCTCTATCTATCGGACCGAAACCGTTCATATTCGTATTCGGTCATTTGTACTCATACTGCTCCTGACTCCCAAGTCGCCGTGGAAAGTGCATCTGGGCCGGCGCTATCCGCCCCAGGCCCTCATGTATTCGTCGAGGACACCGTGGTTGGAGGACCAAGCGGCAGCTGTCTGGGCCCAGTAGAGCTTTGAAATATCAAAACCCCCAAAAAACGAACGAAAAAAGGCCAGCTCACAGGAGCCGAGCTGCAATTCTGTACCACAACTACTGCGACAACTACAACTGCAAGACACGCTATATGTGCAGCAACACCACCAACACCACCGAGACCACCACACAACACTGACAAACTGCTGCTGCACAGTCTCCCCTTCGCCTGGGCTACGATATTTCTTTTTTCTCACGAAGCCACTTCGGAAATACTCCGTCCAGCCTGCCACTCCGAATCGTAGTACCACTCGGACCACTCGCTCTCGGCGTTCTGCTGGGCGCGCTGGCGGCCTTTGCCGCGACCTGAAGATTTGGACCGGGCTTGGGGCCCCCTCGAGTTTACTATCACACATACATATCATATATGCATACATATACACATATGTATATACTTTTGTATATATATATATATATATATATATACGTATATATATATATACATATGTATGTATGTATGTAAGTATGTATGGATGTATGTATGTATGTATGTATGTATGTACATTATATATATATATATATATATATATATATATATACACACACGATAAGATTATACGATGATACTATCATGCTATCTTACAAAAAACGTAATACGGAAATATTGCAGTACTATACTACGGTCGTACCATAATACTCTAAGCCTTCAGACTTTAATATTTGTCAGCTGCCAAGCACCTAATCCCGAAACTCTACACCCTCTAGATCGACGTACTCGGCAACTTGGACAACCACGGTATGCCCGAAACTCGAAAGCATTTAGCCCTGGACGAAGGCTCCACGCTAAAAGCCTCGGGCCCAGACTGACCATAAGCACTAAAAGCCCATGCCCCAAAACATAAAGCCTAAAATGCCCTATGCCCTACACCGCCCGCCTTTGGCACGTCCTCCTTTCCCGCCCTCTTCGTTCCAACCGGACCTGTCGTTGAAGCTGTGAGATCTGTCAGGCTAAGGATTATTTGAAGTAGGATTCTTTTTGAAGGTTCTTTCAAGCCGATAATTGAAAATCACCATGGGGGTTTATAGCAAGGTTTGGGACCTCTAGGGGTTTATGGCTTGCGTGTGTAGTTAAATATGGCTTAAGACTACAGGGTTGTTGCTGGATGCTTTATCCTCCCCTTTTGCTGCGATCTCGCTTTCTACTAAAAGTCAGACTGGATAATTAGGCTCCCGGGTGTCCCCTTAACATTTAAAGGGGGGCCTTTTTCTTGTTATCTAGGTTTGAAAAGGACACCCTGAATGATCTAACTGTGAATACAAAGGCATCCGGATACTCCTCTGGAGCCTGGTTAGCACAACCAAACACTGCAGTGCACGCTCCCGGTATGGTTGGGTGAAATCTTGTACCAACACCTGGCATTGAGGTTTCGGCTGCAAGATTCAGGCTGAGAAGATCAGAACTTCGAAAGAAGGATCGTTTAGGGCTCGGCCTGACAGCATCCCGTGTGGCACAGCACTGCATGGAAGCAAAGTTTCGACCCTCGGCGTTGAACCTTACTTTTCGCCTTCAAAGAAAGATAGATAGACGGGTAGGTCGCTAGACAAGTAGACGAGGAACCCGACATCCAGCACTCATGAAGCTCACTAGGCTGCTGGACACATTTTTGCAATGCTAACAATACTGCTACCATAATTGTGATTGTTTCTGATGGTTCTGAATATCAAAAAACCAACCTCGTTGCCATGCTACTATTACCACTAGTAGCTGGTTAAGCTAATGAAATTTTATAAATAAAGCAGTAAATATGTGTAAATATATACATGTTCGAGATATGTACAAGTATATAGCGGTATGTACTTATTTGCTTGTTTCGTACTCAGAGAGACTGATATTAAGCATCAGAGTATGTCTATAATACATTTCGGTTTATGAAACTAAAAAATGCTTTTCACAAAGGCGCGAGGTCCGAGGATTGCGGTACTCGGGCTTCGTGAAGACGCGGAACTTCTGGCCGTCGTGTGCAACGGATGCACCACGGGGAATCACGATGAGATCCTCAGCTTTCTAAACTGGTGATTCGGAAAAGCTCCAATAATTGGCGCTGGACCGAACGCTCAGGGTTGTAGCGGTTAAGGCTCTAGGATTCCGGGGTTTACAGGTTAACCACCTGGCTGATACATACATTTGTTTTAAGGCACTACCTTTGGGATTCCTATTCTTGAAACAAATAACAAAAACATGGTCCAAAGTAGGCGAATTAGTCATTGGCATAGTACTAAAACTTGTAAATTCCAACATACCCCGGCCCGCCGAAACTGGGCAGAATTTACGGTTAACCATCAACACCATCACTTGAAGCTTCCTGGAAACAACGTCGCCCATACTATGGGAAGTTACATTCTGGGAGGATACTGGTTAATATGCTGGACGAAAAACACTTACTGTACTTTATGCTTTCCGGACGTTGATGGGTGAAGTTTTAAGTGCCTGATTTGTTTACAAAAAGGTTGGCCTACCTAACTTAAGATTGTTTGCATTCAGCGTCCCCGAACAGTATTAAGCGAACCCTAAACTTCGAAAACCTCAACACTAGCGATATTCACAAAACTCTACACTACGTGGGTCCTGACTTGCGACCCTGCGCCGTAAATTTGACCACCACGAATCTCGGCCGTTTGCCCTGGACTCCAACCGTCAATCTACAAACCCACAACTCTGAACACGCCAACCCCCGAATCCTGCAGATTGATTCAGCCTCACTTACACGATGCAAGCATCTGCATCGGGCCAAGGCACTGGCCGCAAACATGGTAGAGAATAGGCAACCGAAAGACAGAAGCATACCATGGAGGTATAGTTTTGTCCCAAAACCCGATGCACAAGAAAAGGTGTCTCCTTATTTCATCCCGATGTACCCGAAAACAAGGAGTTCTCTTAAGGTACGCCCCTGAAAGTCCTCAGCCCCAAGCCCTAACTTGAGCACGTCCAAGGCATAGCTTAACTGGGCGTTTGGAACACTCTCTGCTGCCAGGGCTCGTACCCCTGGTCGTTAATCCTCGCAAAATCGCGGTTGGGAGGGCCGGCTGAACGGTTAGTTCTACGATTGAGGTTTGGGGCTTACGGGTTGAGGGATTATGTGCTTCGGGTTTATGGTAGTCTAGCAAAGTCGAGGATCGAGGATTTTCATGTGGGAGACATGGACCGAAAACTCCAATCGCAACATAAACCTCGGCCCAACATCCTCAACCTATACCCGAAAACATTCTAAACCACATGTCCTTCGCATTTGCCAGATCTCTTCTGTTCCTGAGCCGCTCTACCTACGTCAGGAGCTCATTCTTTACGGGGGATGATGCGGCCCATGCCAGCCATCCCTTCCGCCCCGAGCAATGGACGATGACGTCCGGTTGCCGTGCTCGTGCTCGCGAAAGCCCTTGTCTTACTAAAAAACCCTGCAGCAGAGGATTCCACGGGCTAGCCCCGATCCCTCCTGGCGCATGGAGAAATAGCAACCATAAGAAGAACTTAGCGAAGCCACGTTGGCTGTTTTTGAGCAGAGAGCGATGTCTTGCGGCACGATGTGAATCCGGACAACGACATCAAGCAGGACCCTGCGAACGGCAACGCGAGGTTGAACACGAAAATTTACAAAATTAACCATGCAACCTGAAATGTTCCATCTCACTGAAATGAGAGAACATTCGCTCCTTGTGTGGGTCACTTCCGCTTCCAACAATGGAGTTATGTCCCTGTTGGAATACTTAATCTCCTTGCCGTCCGCACCCAGTGGACTTTGCCGGGCGCTGGGCGGAACTTCACACATTGGAAAAAGTTTTCTCAGCCGAAAAAGGGTACTCTACGACAAGGCACTGTGTCCTCTTTGGGATGTTCAAGATATCGAGCTCGAGCTTCGTCTGTAGGACGCGTCTCCGCACAAGCCTTAAACAAACAGTGCCGTGCTTCTGAACCTGCATGCAAGTAAATTAAGCTTTCGCCTTTTGAAGGGAAAGTGACTGCTTCAGGGTGCGCACGAATTCCGAAGAATCTTGAGAACCCTGGGCAGGAGCACAACATGCACCTCCCGCCCCCCCCGCCCCCCCCTCCTCCCCCCCGGCTGGACAACCCACAAACCCCCAACCAACCCAAGCCTCCCCAACCCCAACAACCCCCGTCCCGGACCAGCTCCGCCACTGGTTGTGCAGGTCGGATCACAATACTTCGGCTTGGTTTGCCCGGCACGGCCAGCCAGTCCAATCAGGGGCTCACTGGAACTCGCTCCAGACGCGGTCAGTCGTAGCGTGCGTCAGAAACTGAAACACCAAAAAAAATTTGCGAAAGTGGAGCACGACTGGCATTGTGTGAAGAACGCTATGGAGACTCTAGGTGTGCTGTAGTGTTGCGGAGAGAACACGACCTGGTGTCCAAGTGCTGACGTAGGAACCACTAGTATACAAACAAAGACACTGTCCACCAGATAAAACGTTTGAGTATGAAGGAGATCGGAGCTTCTGTGCTGCCGTGCTGCGTCAGGAGCTGCTGCTGCCGCTGCTGCTGCTGCTGCTGCTGTCGCTGCTGCGGCTGTCGCTGGTGCTGCTGCTGGCACTGCTCTTGTTGCTGGGGTTGCTACCGCCGCAGCTTGCCGCAGGCCGCTTTTAAGCTGCTGCCTTCCGAGTGGGAAGCAGATCGTGGATGTTCTCCTGCACGACATGTGTTGTCTGACGCCACAAGAAGGAATTATGGACAGGATGTCCGCGCTGACTGGTGGAGGAAACACGCAAGCTGAAGCAAGTTCGGGTCCGGGAGGACGAGGTGCTTCACGATGTTCAAACCTGCCTGGCGGGCCGCACACTGAAGCGAATTTTGTTGAACGCGTAGCAGACATGCCAGAGCTGATATCAGTTCCTTCTTCGTTCCGGCCGAGTACAACCCGTACCTCGTGGCCAACCATCCCTGCAGATCGCAAGTTTCCAAACCGATCGTCGCCTTTCCCTATACAAAACGTAAGGTGGACACGCAGGTAGGGTCCAAGTCTGTAACACCCGAGCTTGATCTTCCTGCGGCGTGCGTGCATCATATAACGACCATCATTCGACATCCAACGCGCTCCCACCAATCTGCCTAGTGGGGCTTCAAGGCTTTATTTCGGAACTTTCCTGGCGAGACCTCTTCGGCCTCACTTAGAATAAGGTTTTGGGGTACATCTTACTATACTTACTATAATTAGAGGAAGGAGCGCCCAAAATAGTACTGGTAATTATGTAAGCCCCTTTATTACATGTCTCAAGCTTTGTGGCTGGACCTGTTGGGTTTCAAGGATAGGCTTCTTTAGGGGCTTCAAGGTTCAGGGTTGAGGGAAACTCTTGGACCTGAGAGGTCGCAGGACCAGGTTTCTGAACTTTTGCGGTCGAGCCTCTTGAGTTTCAAGGCTACTTAGAGGCCCAGGGGAAATAGAAAGTAGGTGATAAGTAGAGTTATAAGTACTCTAAATGGAGCTACCCCAAATATAACCGTGCTTATAACTCACTTACTAAGTCCCCTGGGCCTCCAAGGAAAACTCTCAAACTTCATTGGTTCGACCTCTTTGGCTTCAGGGCTAGAGTCTCACTCCCTCGCTGCCTCTCCACTGATGATTCAAGGCTCTCAAGTCATAGGTATATGATCGTATGGCTCGGATGAGGGTTCAGGTTTGGGGGTCTTCCTGCACAGGGGTTTTAGACAAGGTGGCTGAGCTTTAAAGTTTCGGGTTATATTTAGGGCTGTAAAGGTGTATGAACGTTTCTAGGATTTAAAGGAATTAGGGACTAAGGGTTTGATTCGGGATTGTCGGGTTTGGGAATCAGGATTCAGGGTTGCAACTGTCATTACCGTTACGTAGATGAGCGTGTAGGGATGTGTAAGGTCATGTGGGTTGCAGGCCAAAAGAGGCTTTAACGGAGATTTTAGACACAGTTTGTTTTGGAAGTTCTTGCATGACCTTCAGCTTAACATTTTCATGTGTCACATGATTCATTTGGGAGCTCAGCGTCAGTCTGAAACAATACATTCCGCCAGCTTGCAGGCGAAAACCTATTGAAAGCCGTGCTTGGAATTTACGCGGCCTTGCCCCAGGCTTCGATTGGCTCCAAGGGGAAAAGGAGGGACCCTTAATAAGGACCCCTAGGTATATACCCTTAATATAGGCATTATATACCCATTATATGGCCCATTATAGGGTAGGGGTCCCCATTGAGGGTCCTTCCTTTTCCCCTTTGAGATATCGGCCCAGGGTTAGGCCATAAGCCGTTTCCCTTAACAACCTTGCAAGACCCAAGAAAGACCTAACAATCCCTTACAGACGACCGTGTAGAGGCAGGTGAAGCCCCCTACACAGTAGGCATATGAACCTTAAAAGCCCATAAGAAGCCGTGAAAGCCACCAATTGTTAAACAACTCAAAGCTAGGGGGAAGAAGCTATGAATCCCTAACTGGTACATTTTCGCAAACTACTTGGAGGTTCATGGGTAGTTATAAGTGGGGTTACAAGTAGGGTTAGCAGGCATACTTATGACTCATATTAGGGGACTTATAAACGCAGTTACAACTACCCCTGAACCTCCAATATAACATATAACATTATCTTCAATGCATTGTACAAGCCCGCGGTCCAGCTGGCCGATCTCTTGCGCTGCTCTCGGATCGCCTCCGCGCTGCGCTTGGCCGCCGCATGAAGGTCCACGACGATGCCTGCAACAACAACTACTAGTAGTAGTCGTCGTAGTAGTAGTAGTAGTAGTAGTAGTAGTACAACTACTAATTACTACGACTACTACTACTTCTTCTTCTAATACTGCTGCTACTACTAAACCTAGTACTACGACGACGACGACGACGACCACTACTACTACTACTATGGCAACGTTTACGACGACGACGACGACGACGACGACGACTACTACTACTACTATGGCAACGATTACGACGACGACGACTACTACTACTACCACTACCACGACTGCGACTGCGACTACAACTACTTGGACTATGACGGCAACGATTACGACGACGACGACGACGACGACGACGACGACGACGACTACTACTACTACTACTACTGTGACGGCCCTTCTATTCGGACTGTGGTTTGAGGATGAAGGATCCGAGGCTTTTGTTATAGAAAGGCTTGGGTTTAGGGCTTTGGGCTTGCGGATGGGCTTGGGCTTTGGGATTTAGGGGGGTAGGGGTCCTTTGCACTAAAGTCGTGAAGCTGTGACAAATTACGTGGGCCTGAAATCTGCACAAGTCTCGGTTGGGTTGAGTGATTCAGTTTTCAGTTCGCATCAGATCACTTTGGGGTAGTTACTGTTGTGCTGCGGGCACAGTGGCAAACTTAACAAAGTACCATAACTTATAAACCCTAAACCCTAAACCCTAAACCCTAACCCTAAACCCTAAACCCTAAACCCTAAAACCCTAAACCCTAAACCCTAAAACCCTGAACCCTAAACACTAAAGTAGCACGCCCTGAAGCCTCAACGCTGCCACGATCTCGACTGAAGACTGTCCCCGTGTTCGTGCGACGAACGAAAACCTGTGATTCGACATCCTACGGTTTAGGGTTTAGGGTTTAGGGGTTTAGGGTTTAGGGTTTAGGGGTTTAGGGTTTAGGGTTTAGGGTTTAGGGTTAGCTTCATCCATAAAGCGAAGCCTCAGCCTCACCCTTAAGGATTCCTCATAATATGGGTTCCTTTAAGGGTTCCTCTAAGGGTCTTGTTAACATAAAACCTGAAGCCCTGAAGCAAGTCTTGAACCTTAGATCTTTCATACAATAGAAGCCCAATAGTTGGAAACCCAATAGCCGCAACCCTTAAGAGTCATGTATAGGGAATCCCGACACTATTTAGCCTTAATCCGGCTTCCAACTGTATGCCGCTTACTGTAATCTATAACTACCCTAAACCCTATAAGCTCTAACTATACTAGGATACCCAGAAACCTATGAATAAAAAGGCCTCTCTTTTTTTGGTATTGGGTAACTTTATAAGGAACCTAGGACTACAAAAAGGGAATAAGGGTACTACTGGGCATCCTAGATAACTACCCTAAACCCTATAAGCCCTAACTATAAAGCCCTTAAAGAACCCGAGATCTTCCATAGAACCCAGGGGCGGTTCGGATAGTTGCCGTCCGGGCCAAGGCGGACACCGGCTGCTTCCAGAACATGTGCCGGCGCCTAAGATTGCAACAGGCCTAATGTAGGGGCTTAAATACTACAGTAATTACCCATAACTACTGTTTTAAGGAGTATAACGGGCCCCAAAAGCGCATTCTAATTATTAAGGCCCCTATACTACGAATTTGGTGTCTTAGGCTTTGCGAATGACGAGTGCGCAACTAAAAGATCAACCCTACCTCCGTAGGCCATGTTCCTCTACGTGAATTGCAGTTGGGTTTAGGGTTGGGGGGTTATAAGAGGTGTGGGACTTAGAGCTTAGGGGTAATAGGGGTTCAGGGTCGAGGGGTTAAGAGGTGCAGGATTTAGAGCTTAGGGGTTTAGAGGTTTTGGCTTGTTTGAGAGCCTTGTACCCAGACCTTCCAAAATCCCTTAATTAAGGAATATACCTTAACTCATATTAGGGATCTTACTATAATTTAAGGTATATTCCTTAATTAAGGGATTTTGGAAGGTCTGGGTACCGACTCCAGCGGACTAGGGTTTAGCGCCTTAGCGCTTTATGGCTTCGGGGTAGGGTTTAGGGTTTAGGGTTTAGGGGGTTTAGGGGGTTTACTTGGAGGTTCATGGGTAGTTATAAGTGGGGTTATAAGTCCCTAATATGAGTTCTAAGTCCCTTAGTATGGGTTATAAGTATAGTTACCAAACTTATAAGCCCACCTATAACTACCCATCTCCAAGTAGGGCGTCCGGGTTTCAGAGGCTGAGGCATCAAGTAAAAAGGGGCAGGGAGGGGCAGCATTCGGATCGCTGGTAGCTGATGGTCCTACTGTTGATGATATAAATCCTGCATGACCTTAAGGACCCTAAACTATGGGAATTATGGCATGTTCCGTATTATCGGTAATGCAGGATTTATATCATCAACCGTACATCCAACAACCGGCCAAGCTCACTGAAGCTCCAAGGATCAACATGTGTGGTTTATACCTGGGCCTTAATAATGAAAATAGGGATTTGGGGTATGGTATAGGCAAACTAGACTAAGGAACCCAAAGCAATGATGCTGCTGGTAGTTTTCTAGGCTTCGATAGAAGACTCGGCTAAACCGTAGTGAGTAATTAATCAGGCTCGAAAGCATCTAAAAAGCCCTGAACCTTGTCCCTCACACCTTTTGCAGCCTTAACTCCAAGAAGCAATGACCAAGCCAAGCCACATCCCAGGGAGCGTGGACGAATTGCGTGGGCAATTTTGACAGCTCGGGACACCAGCGGCGAATGTAGTGTCCCTCGCAGAAGGAATGGTGGGATTTCTCTTCGGGAGCCCGGGGCGAGGAGCAGGACTTTAGGGTATGTGACACTATTGCCCAAACCCTAAAACCCAAAACACCCTGAACACCAAGTCCCGAGTAAGTCATCCAGGGGCCTGAATAATTAGAATAGGGCTATGGGGCCCATTAGACTATCAATATAAGAAGGAACCCCCAAAATAGCAATTATAATTATAGGTAGCTATTATTACGGCCCCTATAGTAGGGCCTTTAAGGAGTTGGGGGGTTGGGGACAGACAGGTCGGGCATGTGGAGTCTATTGCGCAACTGATGTCTACCGCCATCGGAACCAGGCATTCATTATACGTGGGGGGCTCATGGGAAAATATGAGTGGCGTTATGATTGGAGTAAACTATATACTTATAACTCATATTAGGGACTTATAACCCTACTTATAACGACCCAGGAACCTCAAGAAGGGCTATAGCTCCTGGCCTTATATCGTGTCAACGAGTCGTCACACTGTCGTCATGCACAAAAACAATAGGCATGGTGCAGGTAGTCCTGTAGCCAGACTGGCGCAATCCTTTTATCTCACCTGAAACACCAATTCCTAAGCGTCAAAATGGCACTGTGCGGTCCTTGTCACTATAGAGTGAGGACATGTTTCGACCAACGGGACTTTGAGGAACGCATCGGGCTCATGGATGTAGGGTTTCGCTCCCATTGACACTCCTGACACAAGGTTTATCTCCCCCGATACTCTACCTTTCAGGGGCTCCTCATTGCGAAATCCTTGCAGATGTCCTTGCTGCAAACGCGACCCCCCTAGCGACCCCCAAAATTGCACTCATCCAGAGACCCCCGAAACCCTAACCCCCCTGTGTGCACCTTCGGATCCTGTGTCTTACCCGCAGAAGCCGCATGCATCGTAAAGTTCCACTGATCCTGGGAAAGGCTTCCCCTACGCCTCCAGTTGCCTAAATAAGGGGTTAAGACTGATTACAGGGCTATATACTAGATGGTTAGCAACCTACCCTTTAAGTAACCGGAGGTTCAGGGTTCGATGTAGTGGATCGAAGGATTGAACCGGCTTTTTATGCCAGGCGCTACCACTAGCACGACCATGGCCAACAGGACTGCAAGAATCTATATCGGGGTGTAGAGTTTAGGGGCTTACGGTTTAGGGTACTAGAACGACGACAATGTCCTCAACCACTCGTTCTGCTGTTTTAGCCGCACTGGCAACATCAACGGCAATGAGTGAAGGGTTCTGTGAGGGTTTAAGGTCCCAGACCTTCCAAAATCCCTTAATTAAGGAATATACCTTAAATCATATTAGGGATCCTACTATAATTTAAGGTATATTCCTTAATTAAGGGATTTTGGAAGGTCTGGGGATGTTGAGAGCTTGAGGATTTGTACAGGTTCGTTCGGTCGTTTTCGGAGTTCGGGTTCTAGGTTTAGGGTTCAGGGTTTAGGGTAAAAAAAGAATCAAGAATGAAAGGCCAAAGAAGAACGACAGCTCTACGACACCTATCTCTAAGCCCTAAACCCTGTATCCTCAACAAAAACTCCTGAACCGAAGACTCTAGATCCTGAACCTAAACCCCTAGACCCCAAACCTCACACCCTAACTCCTAAATCCCTCGCAGACCCTAAACCTCTGTGCCCCAAACGTTTCTTCCTGCCCTGCAAACTCTTCGCTCCAAGCAGTACCTCCTTGGGCTCACACAGTGAGACTTTAAGGTATTATGTGTCTCTTCGGACATCATTTGGGGTTTAGGGTTTGGGGTTTTCGGGGGGTTAGGGTTTAGGAGTTTTCAGGGAACATCACCCCTGGCACCTCCAACTTTAAAGTTGCAGGTCGGGAGTCCAGTCCGCTCTTGCCGGCGTTCTGCCACATCATGGGATTGATGGCCTCGCCAACCGGTTTAGGGTTTAGAGGTTTAGGGCTCATAGGGTTTATACGGCTTATAGGTTTTAGAGGGCTTAGGGTTTAGGGTCTGGGGTTGATGGCCTGGTCAAAGTTAAAGCAGGCGCTTAGGGTGCTGTTGGGGCTTCAGGGTTTCACTTGAAGTCAAGCCTAGTAAACCCTAAACCCTAGTCTCAGAAGCCAGACTTGCGAGGTAGGCAGTCATCAGGGTTTCGATAATGTAGGAGCCTGATTAAGAAACCTTGGGCCTTTATTACGGTTCCATATATAAATCCTACCATTTTGGGGTTCTAGGCCCAGGGTTTCTTAATCGGCTCTAAACCTGAAGCTATATATATGCAAAGTCCTATAGTCCGTAAACTCTAGCACTGTTCTCCCAAAACCAGAAACTTTCAACTGAAAAGCCTGCAGTTAAACTGATCACCAATTCCCTAAACCCTACATCCTCAAACCCTACTGCCCCGACGAAACTCACTACTACCGAAGGCCCCAACGTCGCAATCAGGAAGAAGAGTTTGGCGGTTTTGGGCTTTGACTTTGATGCTTTTTGGTGTAGGGGCCCAGACCTTCCAAAATCCCTTAATTAAGGAATATACCTTAAATCATATTAGGGATCTTACTATAATTTAAGGTATATTCCTTAATTAAGGGATTTTGGAAGGTCTGGGGGCTTGAGTCTTGGGAGTGCTCATGCACTATGGAGACCTAAACGGTTTAGGGTTTATAGGGTTTAGGGTTTAGGATTTAGGGTTTAGGGTATAGGGTTTAGGGTTACGGAATTCAATCATTGCTCTAAACCCTGCAAACCCTACACCCGCATTTTGGAGTTTCGGGGGATGTGGCGTCGGAAATACTTAGAATGTGGTTTGGGGGTTCCTTATTATAACTGTAGTAAAATATATCTCCAAGCCTATTCAAAATATTCAGGCCCCTGTGTTAGTGGTTTAGTCAGGCCTTGGGAACTCGTGAAATTCTGGTTCGGATCTTGGCTGTACCGGGTTCAGGGTTTGGCTGGCAGTTGGAATCTAGGCTTTAGGGTTCAGGGTTTAGGCTTCACTTTACAGGGTTCAGGGTTGGCAATTGGAGCCTAGGCTACGAGGATGATTATGGTTCAGAGTTTCGAGTTGAGGGTATGGAAGATCCAAAATCGAGGGCTGGTGATCGACCTGCCCTTGCCTGGTCGGCATCCACCAGAGTGTGATGAAACCACCTCTCACCTAGAACGAGCTGTAGGGGTTCCTACATCCCCGAGCGATAAGGGACTAGGATTCCTGGAGCCAAACGTAATCTTAATTTGGGCGTTTGCTCAACTCTTTTCTGAGAACAACTACTAACTCCGTAAGGTATAGTATAGTACTGTGTAGCATAGTAAAGCATAGTACAGTTTAGTATATAGTCTAGTGGTCTATTACAACGGATACTGCTTACTGATCATCCAGACCCCTATCTTGCGTTGGAGCCTGGAGATGTGATGATATGATGTAATATTTGGGGCTGTGAAGTTTTAGGGTTTAGGGATTCGGAAAACTGATAAATTGCTGAGCGTTCTGCTTCTGTTGGGCTTTGGTCTGGGGGTCCGAAACCTCGTGGGCAGATCGATTGTCTTCAGGTCACAAGTCTAAGCCCCAAAACCCGAATCCTTCTGTATTGGGTTTCAAGCTCCCGAACCCGCACTGTTGAAGTAGCTGCTGGTTCTCTCGGTTCTGCAAGGGAGGCTTTGTCCTTGAACTTTGCGACCCTTACGAAATACTACTTCACAATTCCCTAAGGGTCCATGTACCCATATAGAGATACATGGGCCCCAATGTACCTATATAGGGACTACATTAAGGTCAATGTTATACTATATGAGTACATGGACCCTTAGGGTCTGGCAACCCCCGAAAAAGAGGTTGCCGGACCACGGGATGCAGCAATCGAAACAGCAGTTCGTAAGCACCAAACAGCCTAAACAGTAAACAAATGAACACACGACCTTAGAACATCTTTGATTCAGGGTTCAGGGTTTAGGGTTCTGCTAGCATGAGCGCATTAGTTTCACGACGAGCTGCCTTCGATCCAGTGGATATTCAAATGCTCGCAGAGAAGGATTGCCGCAGCCATCCTGTACCGAAGTGAAACTAGTGTTAGGGTTTAGGGTTCTGAGCACGTTCGGCTAGTCGAACGCATGTCTTCGCTAACCATCTATGCCGCCCCACGCTTCACACATGTACACCAAATACGCACATACGACACACATGTAATTAGGCCGGAGTGGCTCCAACCCTTACCCTAAACCCCAAACTCTACACTAACCGTACCAAGCAAGATGAGACTCAGAGACTGAACACAGAGAAGTCTGACACACTCTGCACCGGACATGCGAAGCTATCTATGCAGCATGTCACGGATTTAGGGTTTAGAGTTGAAGGTTTACCTCGACCCCAAAATAAACCTACCTTTTCTGATGGTTTGTAAAAGAAGTTCATCATACAGAACCCTAAAAAGCTAGGTTTTTTGGGGGTCCTGGTAGGGTTTTAGGGTGCCCAGGAAGCTTGAAGAAACAATCCAAATTCACTTCGATCGACTTCCGCCTTTGAACAAACCCGGATGGCCTCACATTCTGGGCCATCCAACCCGTCGTCCACAGCTCCCTCCGGTTGGTGTTTAGGGCTTCTCCTGGGTGTTTCGGGGTCCACGATTTTTTTGCACTTCGGGCATTCAGAACCTAGAGTTTGGCATGCAGTTTAAAGGGTCAAGGTAGAGTGTCTCCTTTTGGATAGTCATCTTCGGCAAATCCCTCACACCGTGAAGGATTGAGGCCCCTGCATAGAGATGTTGTATGATAACCATGATCGTCTTCGCCATCATCACCACCTCCACCGGCATCATCGTCGCCAACAACGACATCACCATCATCATCGTCATCATCAAGATCGTCAAGCCATCACTAACAGGATCGTGGTCGTAAAAATGACGAACATCAACGACATGAGGACATGAGCGAACAACATGAGCCGGATCATCATGACCGTTGTCACCGCCGTCGTCAATCTCATGACCGTTGTCGCCATCATTAACAACAGACAAAGCATCGTTCTTATCAATTATCGTCCTCATCTTGGATCATCAGCAGCGACATGCTCATCGTTATGTTGCGAGGTGTCGTTTTTCGCAGGGCCAGGACCTCACCCAAAGCTTGGTCTTCGATGGCTGATGCCGCGAAACCCTATGTCAACCCCAAACATTTTTGCTGGGCATTACATAAGGAGAAACTTGTGGGCCTGAGGGCCAAGGGAGGTATACACCCGAAGCTTGCATCCACGATCTGAAACAATTGTCCATCTCTACGCCGCGAGTCTCCAGCTACGCACCCTGGTATATGAATCCTTCCTCAGTCCAACATACCTCAAGGTCCCTGCCTGCAACCCCACACCCTACAGAATAGTAGGTATGACCCCTTACTTCTACGGTTGAACCCCTCAAACTGTCATTGTTTGGATTCGCAGGTACAGCCTCAACCCTAATCGGCACTAATCCCGAAGTCCAGAAGTTATTCAATGCATAGCCACATTTACGGCTTTGGGTGTAGGGTTTAGGGGTTTAGGGTTTATAGGGCATATAGGTCTTATAGGGCTTGTAGGGCTTTTAGAGTTTAGGGTTTATACGGTTCAGAAGGCTTATAGGGTGTATAGGGTGTAGGGTTTAGGGGTTTAGGGGGCGGGGTTATTACTCGAGGAGACCTCTTTGCTGGGACGGCATCTCTTGTTGGCAGACCCAGCAGGACCTGCCTCATGCCGGCATCGATCAGCGGATACCCCGTTTGACCCCGCTGCCAGCGCCGCAGGGCTGTCGGATCCGTGTTCCATGCCTGAATGCCAACTGGACTCAAAGATGGACGTCTGAACAGTTATAGGTATAGTCTAGGTGACTTTCCGATTAGGATGCCATTATATTGAAACCCACCTCACCTTCATACCAACATACGATTCTGGGCATTGTCGCCTGATTCATGAGAGTTTCTTCGCGGAAGGCCTGCTCTATCTAGGGTATGGGTATGTAAGGGTTTATACTGCGGACCCTACTATTTATGCGAATCCGTATCAGCGCCCGTTGCTTCCCAAACTCCTTTTCAACAAGACATTGAAAGATTGCCAAAGTAGCGACGCCTTAGTTTGCACTCCCACAACAACTACATTCAACCCTCTAAGAACATCTAGCGAACCCCGTAAGCCACTACACATGCCAGCGCTACTTCTTTTCCGAAACTCTTGCAACACAAACCCTAAACCATCGGTTTACGGTATAGTTTTTAGGGTTTAGGGCTGAGGGTTTTAGAGGTTTAGGGCTTTACAGTAAAAGCCAGAAAGTTGGAATATGATTATCCTAAACCCTTTATGGTAAATTACAAGGTATCCTACCCTGAAACCATATTCCAACTTTCTGGAGTTCCCTTTAGGGTTTTAGGGGTTTAGGGCTTTAGGGCTTCCTGAACCTTAAACTCGCAGCCCGGCATGCACCGGCCTGGCCCTCGTAGTGGGCACGGATAGGACGACTGCGCCTTACGACAAGCCTAGCTTAGGGGCCCCATAGTAGCCTAGGATACCCAGTAACCTAAGAATAAAAAGGCCTCTCTTTTTTGGTATTGGGTAACTTTATAAGGAACCTAGGACTACAAAAAGGGAATAAGGGTACTACTGGGCATCCTAGTTAGGGGCCCCATAGTAGTTCCTTTTTGGGATTACCTTATAGCATCCTATACATGAACCCCAAAAAGGAACTACTTTGGGGCCTTGGGGTAATCTGGGAGCCTTAATAATCAGAATAGGGTTCCGGGATACTATGAGGTTCATATAATAGAGGGGCCTTAATAACTAGAATAGGGTTTTGGGGTATGTCAAAAAATCATAGTAAGTAACCACCAAAATAGTATGGGTAACTATTAAAATCCCCATATTCACTTCTTAGACAAAGGAACCTGAACTGCGCTTTGCAGTTTTAGGACTCTGCCCGATTGAAGCATGCATTAGCACTCAACTTCGAGGTAACAGTCCGGGCGTACAAGAATACCATGCAGAACGGGTATATGGCTAGAGTACTTGCGCACATACCCCTGATTGCTAAGCACCCTGGCCCTGGACAAGCGAAGCAAGGGTGAACGCTGAGAACCCTAAACACCCGAAAACCCCGGAAGCGCTCTAAGCCCTAAAGCCTTGTAGCCGAGCATAAATATTTACCTATACGATCCTATACGAACCGTTGTAGTAGTCCCAGCACTTATCCCTCCGAAAAGAGTACATTTAAGCAGTAGATATACATATATATATATATAACTCAACCTTGTATATAGAGCTTCTTGAAAATACAGGATCGTAAATATGGTACAACACACACACACACCTAAAAGCCTCAAGCAATTGAACGAACACCGCCGAGCAAATCGAAACACCCTAGAACCCTAAACCCTGCGAGCGGAGGGTTAAACACTTAAAGGTCCAGGGCACATCCCTGAACCCTAAATCCCTAAACCCCAAACCCCCAAACCCCAACCCCTAAACCCCTAAACCCCTAAACCCGTAAACCCGTAAACCCGTAAACCCGTAAACCCGTAAACCCGTAAACCCGTAAACCCCAAACCCCTAAATCCCCAAACCCGTACACCCTAAACCCCGTAAACCCTTAAACCACTGAAAGCTCCAAGGGCACATCATTGAAAATTAAGTTGAAGGTACTTATAGCTTATAACCCTATACTTCTCATATTCTACTATGGAACCATACTTATCACAACCCTAAACCCTAAACCTGGGAGCCTCCAAGTAGACCCAGACCGAGGTCCCGACATCTGTGGGAAGATCTGGAGCTGCCAATACGCCAAGTCCCGCCAGACCAAACCTCGAGAGAACTGGGACTAGGGAATTGGGGCTTATAGTATAAGGGTACAGGGGTTTAGGGTTGAGGGATTAGGGTTTAAGGAGTATGTTTTAGGGATTGATTTGACATTATAGGGGGAGCTTTGGAGCTTATAGCGGTTCGGATAGGGCTTTATGGTGTTTGGTTTCTATTCGGTTTGGTGAGGTCTCAGTGGTCGTTTGAGAGTCTTGATGAGCTTTTATGAGGAGCCTAGTATATTACACAGCCCTAGTATTCCAAGTAGCCCAACACGGGCGCTGCATGCAGCGTTTATGGATTGAAACGCCAAAGTATCTGTCATCTGTATACTTGGATTCCTGGCTCACGCCAGGGGGACGGAGCCCTTCGTCGACTTCTCAGCTTTAAGCTCTTCCAGTCACTTAGCGACCACTTTGTGGCGCTTAGCAACGTGCTGGATCACTTCCTGCTCCGAAACCATAGCGGCCGAAGATAGGAATGCGGAATGCTACCAGATTGGGGGAAATCCGACCCTAAACCCTAAACCCTAAATCCTAAACCCTAAATGCTAAACCCTAAACCCTAAACCCCTAAACCCTAAACCCTAAACATGGCTTCCTTCCCGGCAGCGACTTGGACTCGGGTCTGCCGCTCCTCTTCGATCTTGGCGGCCACCTGCTCCCCGGAAGCAGGCTCCCACGAGAGGGTTTTGGGTTTAGGGGTTTAGGGTTTAGGGTTTAGGGTTTAGGGGTTTAGGGGTTTAGGGTTTAGGGTTTAGGGTTTAGGGGTTTAGGGGTTTAGGGTTCACTGTAGAGCCAGGCTTCAAAATTCCATCACGATCCAAGATTGCCCAGCACTCATCCAAGATAGCGAACGAGTCCGCTTCGGCGGCGCCCTTCTGATTCAAGCTCTCGAGCTTACTCACCGGATTCTCCGGAAAGAAGAAGGCCCGTGCGGGGAATGTCCGGACTTGCCCAGACCTTCCAAAATCCCTTAATTAAGGAATATACCTTAAATTATAGTAGGATCCCTAATATGATTTAAGGTATATTCCTTAATTAAGGGATTTTGGAAGGTCTGGGTAGACCCGGGCTTCGAATCCACACCTGAAGCCCGAACACCTGAACCCTAAATGCTGAACGACTAAACGCTACGCCCTCAAACCCAATTTGTTTGCAAGCCTCTTGGAGAACGCCTGAAATACTGAGCTCGAAACCCGCCCTAAACGCACAACAAATCTAGAACCCCTAAACCCCCAGCCCTAAACCCCTAAACCCCCAATCCCTAAACCTCAAGCCCAAAACCCCTAAACCCCAAGCCCTAAACCCCTAAACCCTAAACCTCAAGCCCAAAAACCCAAACCCCTAAACTTTAAACCCCTGAACCCCTAAACCCCCAATCCCTAAACCTCAAGCCCCAAACCCCTAAACTCTAAGTCCTTACTTGGAGGTTCGGGGACTTAGTAACTGGTTATTTTAAGGACTTCTAAGTACCATAACCTTTAAGGGAACCCTAGGGGTTCCTTCAAGCGAACCCTAGGGTTCCCTTACATGGCGGTTCCAAAAGTTAAAAGCCGGCCCACGTCTCCAGTACACGATGGAGGCTTCTTTGGCGCCCGCGGCCTTCCTCGGCTCGCGGCTTCTTACCGTTAAGGACATGGGGTTTAGGGCTTTGGGGGTTTAGGGCTTATTAGGGGTTTCAGGGTTTAGGGCTTGGGGTTTAGGGGTTTAAGGCTTTTTATCGTTACTTGGAGGGTCGGGGGACTTAGTAAGTAGGTAGTAAGTAGACTTATAAGTACCCTAAAGGGACCCTAATTGGGGTTATGGTACTTATTTGTCCATAAACTAACCAGTTACTAAGTCCCCCGACCCTCCAAGTAAGGACTTAGAGTTTTGGGGTTTGGGGCTTGAGGTTTAGGGATTGGGGGTTTAGGGTTTAGGGGTTTGGGTTTTTGGGCTTGAGGTCTAGGGATTGGGGGTTTAGGGTTTAGGGGTTTAGGGCTTGGGGTTTAGGGGTTTTGGGCTTGAGGTTTAGGGATTGGGGGTTTAGGGGTTTAGGGCTGGGGGTTTAGGGGTTTTGGGCTTGAGGTTTAGGGATTAGGGGTTTAGGCTTTAGGGGTTTAGGTTTAGGGGTTTAGGGCTTGGGGTTTAGGGGTTTAGGGTTTAGGGCTTGGGGTTTAGGGGTTTAGGGTTTAGGGTTTGGGGTTATCAGGGTTTACATTTTGGATAGTGAAGGTTTTCCTGTTTCAGTTGTCAGTGATACGGGCTTCTGATATAGGGCTTTCCAGGGTTAGGGCCTCGGTTACACCAGCACCATGTAAGTGGTTGCCAATATTAGGATCCCTTTCTGGGTCCCTATTCTAATACGGCACCTATGATTTAGGGTGCTAAAAAGGTATTATAAGATATCCATCAAGAACGGTAGACCAAGCAAATACAGAACTGCCGACACTAGAGTTGTGTGTTGCCTTCCAGAAATTGAACTCACGACACTAATGCTCATGGAGTTTGTCGAGCTGTGCACCCCGCGGGGTGAACTTTGAAAGGCAAAGGGGGTTTCTGATGTCTGCGTGAGTGTATATCGACAAACACACACGCCGTGCACATGCAGACACGCCAGCGAGCACACACTCGAGGCTGAAGGTACACACACACACACATTCTTACGTGCAACCTTCATGCCTATATGTACAGATGGGCATACCAACACAGTGCTTCTGACCATGCAACAAGACTCGCAAGTAACGTGAGCGCACGAATCGGCTAGCTGGACAACTACGGCAAAACTAACGACATTCTTGATGGTGACAACAACAGCAGTCACAGTAGCTACAGGTACAACAAGACGTCAACACCACGAGGCATGGCGCCAACAAGCGACTAATGCTGTTGCTGAAGTAGAACAAACCTGCTCTTGCAGCCCAGAATCATCTCGTGGAACATGAGCCGTGGGCTCAGCATACCGAAACCTCGGCAGAAAGAAGTGAGCTTGGGATTGTGCCAGCCCGATAAACGAGTCAAAATCCATGGTCATGTAATTAGAAAGTAAGGTCATCCCCTTACAGAGTCCCTATACCATCACAACAAAGTATCCCAAAATACCGTTCCAATTCTTAGTTGCTGAGTTCATAAGCCCCCAAAAGTGTACACTTTCAGTTCTATAGTCGGTAACATTATCCCAAAACATCTAAAGTGTATCCACTCAGCTACGAAGAATTGTTAAGTCCCCCATTCAACCCCCAGGCCCGGGCTTCAGGAGCCCAAGTGCCGGCCACAAAGTCCGGAACTGCAGGGGAACACCAAGGTTGTGGAGCCATTGTGCCCCCGATACCCTGCAGACGTGGCCGGTAAACCGCTGCAGAATCTGAGCTCCCGGGTAACCCCGACCCTGCACACAGTCAGCACGGCCCGCTCGAAATGGATGAATTGCTCCTTAGCCATGACCACGCCACCCGGTGCGGGAAAGAGCCTCTGGGCCAGACGTCGCCAACCTCCGAAGATGCCGCCTTCATGGCATGATAAGGGCATAAAGCCTGCCTGGCCACAGCAACCTTCTCGACGGCGGTTTTGGTTCCAAGTTTAGGGTTTTGGGGTTTAGCGGTTAGGGCCATGGGGTTTAGGGTTTACGGCTCCCCCTCAAACCTTATGTCTAGCAGGGTTTGGGTTCAGAGTTCAGAAAAGCTCAAGTCAACAAATGCTTCCACCCTGACGCCGAACACGGTAATCCCCCGCTGAAGGACCAAATGACCCTTAAAAGTAGGGGCCCTATACCCATACACTATGAAACCGTATATGGCATATGAACCTTAAACCCTTTTAGGGTTCATTTCGTCCTTAAGGCCTAGGCTGTTTTCTGAAGAAAATCTAAAACGAAGACCCAAGCGTGCTCAGACCCAAGAGAGGCCTCAAAATTGAACTCCGCACGCCGTTAAACTTGCCCAAACCCTAAGGGTCCATGTACTCATATAGTATAACATTGACCTTAAACAGGGTTGAGCTGTACGACTTTGGCATAAACCAAAAAACAGGGTCGTGACTTAGACGGTTTGAGAAGTCGACCGCCTTTTTCCGCACAATCGACTTCCACGGTTTGAGCAGTCGACCGCCTTTTTCCGCACAATCGACTTCCACGGTTTGAGCAGTCGACCGCCTGATTCTGCACAATCGACTTCCACGGTTTGAGCAGTCGACCGCCTGATTCTGCACAATCGAGTTCCTAGCTCGGGGTGCAGCCCAGAAGAAAAAAGAGCTCGAGCCTCGAGCTCTTTTTTCTTCTGGGCTGCACTGACGCCGTCAAGGCCACATGATGGACCGGCTGAGTGAAAACAACGCCTAACATGAACTTAAAATACTGTTTCGTTTGCGCTCCACCATAAGGCCACGGCAAGCTGAGCGCCGAGACCGAAGTCGACCGGCGAGCTCAGGAATGCACCGGGACGGAAGTCGACCGGCAAGCGATGTGGTCACACCCCAGTGCTTCAATGTCTACGACCGTTGTCAAGGCCATCTCCGAACCTGGCGGCCGGTCCATCGGCTTGTGGTTGAGACGATTGGCCCAATCGTCCAGCCACATGATGGACCGGCTGTGTGAAAACAACGCCTATAACATGAACTCAATTTTTTCAATGACATGACCTTGACATCAGCATGTCGAACATGCTCGGTCAAGCAGTTCAACGAGAAGGCTCTGTAGGCTACAGAGCCTTCTCGTTGAGCTGCTTGGGAACCGTGGGGCAGCTCCAATGCGAACACCTCTCAGAGGGATTCGCATTCGAGCTGCCCCACGGCTCCAGAACTCCTTTGTACACTCAGGAGGCACGCAAAGTGAAGATTCAGCGAAGCTGAAGGACCGGCACTGTGTCTGGTCTTCCAACCAGCAGCCACGGACCATTTGGACGGCATGGTCGTACCATGTCATCCACCTGGTCGACCTGCTCTCAGAGGAGGGCTCACCACGTCTGCCTGGCAATGAGCAAACGACATTAATTAAGATTGACTGAAAATAGGCACGACCGACGTGGCACAGGATGAATCATGGAGCAAGTGTGCCAATCAGATATTGGGCATTGCACCACACTGCATTTTTTTAACCGCACTGTTCTTCAACGCGTACAGGCCAAGGCGACCGCCAACATTACTCCACAGTTGGCCACATGCATTCCGTTGCCGACCTGCTGTCGGTTGGGCTGCCCCAGGACCCCATAGTTCATTGCCATTGCTGCTGCCATTTCGACCGGCAGAAGCCATCGGCTCAAACCATCCACCCAAATTTTCGTATTCGTGCGGAAAGTTGGCAAGCGACCATCTTTTGTAGTCATCTTAAGGAAACGTGCAGGGTTTTGGCTGAGATCAAAGACCGGCTCCTGCTCTTTGTCAGACCGGCACTGCTGCCAAGTTTCACGGTACTTTGCCAAGTATTTCTGCTGCTGCTCAGTCAGCAGACATTCCCACGACCGGCTTGGCGTCTGCACCATGTCTAAACCCTTTGCTCTGCGACAGAAGTTCTCCTCTTCTAGAGTCTCCTCGACCGACCCTATGTAACAATCTCTGATGGACAGTCCACCACCGACGGAATTGAAGAAGCTTGTCACGAAATGGTAGACCGTCGGGATATCGGCAACCGACGCTCTCGACCGATGTACTAGCACGGAATATACCCGTGGTCGATTCACACAGGTGAAGCCCACATGGTGTGGCTCGACCCGCAAGTGATGAATGACATACTTTTCCTGCATGAGATCCTCCAGGACCGACGTGGGAAAGCCAGACACGTTTTCGTGCAGTATGACCGGCGGCTCGTGCTTCAACATAAGGGCTGCCCATAGCAGGAGAAGGTCAGACCGACCGTCGGTCCAGCGCCTCTTCTGTCCAGCTCTCGACCATGGCTGGCATGGGCTACCGCTGATGTCGACCGTCACGGGTGGTGGCCGGCATGCAACATGACACCGACATATTCTTGGGACGTTGGCAGCTGCTCTCTTGGCCAGTGCCCACCGCTCTGCGACCGGCCGGTCAGGACCTAGCATTTCCAGAGTCGGAAAGGCATCCCTGATATCTCCAAAGACATGCTCCGACCGACCCATCAAAAGATTCTGGCAGGCCCGTGATACGTCAAACGCAGACACGAACTGCAGCGTCGATCTCTTGGCGACCGCCCGCGTGGTGAACTTACACAGAAGAAGTTCTTGGAAGGCCTTGTGCACACGCTCGACCGCCTGCTCAGCACATCCAACACCTGAGAAATGTGTACTGACACGGATTGGGCCAGCCAGCATGGAACCTGGTCAGGGTGCTCAGAAACTGATAACGATTATTATTACTATTGCTCTGATAATGATAACTTATTAGCATTATGACGATTGCAAGAATAATTAATAAACGGTTCTTAATCGATGGGTTTCACAACAGCCATGCCTTGAAGTTGCTTGACCGACAAAATACGACTTAAAGCAATCATCGTGATCTCAGGCCACTGCTTGGCACCTGCCATGCCGCTGCCAAAATTTGCGACCGGCGTCGCATTTGCCTGGTCCACGTCAATATCTGGCATATCTGACGCCGGAAGAGACTCCGACCCACTCTCATCCGGCGACCAGCTCTTCAAGCTTTCGCTGTCTGAACATATCTGGAGGTCGACCGACATGGACTCAGACTCCGAAAGGAGCTCCATCTGCTCCATGTCTAAAGTCTAGTCTCAAGTGAAGTTCTCATGTATATTATAGGTATGATGATACGCTGATGCTGCCGTGCAATGGCTTTGTTCAGTCCCAAGGCTTGTTGCTCCCTGACACGACCACGGCTGCAAGAAACTCTCTAAGTGATGTGTAGTCGATGATGCTATAAGAGCTGAAGCACAGCTGGCAAGTCACTCAGACAGAGTCAAGCAGAAGGCCATGCCATCGTGACAGCATCGCCTTGTGATCGACCGACAAAGGGCTTACACATCGCCTCGTTGTCTTTCTTTCAGTGGCAGCGACCAGCACGGCAACCACGGCCTGGGCCACATGAGCTCTGATTCTTTGTCATTGTACGAGCTAATCACAGGACGGTCAGGTTACTAAAGAAGGTCTGAGCTTCCAACATGCCACCAGCTGGAGATGCAAAGCAACTCGGATCCACGATCGCCCGGCAGTGCCGGACAGTCGTGGGCCAGGGTTGCTTCGGATCTTCATCTTATGGCATTGACCGGCCTGCTTGACTGAAGATAACATGTGAGAGAAATCAGGAGGAGTGCAGCAAACAAACAGCTGGGGGTCCGACGAGACCACTGAAGCACCTAGTGCCCAACCTGAAGAACCACTTTGCTGACAGCAAAATGGTTCTGCAGCTTGGGCACCATGATGGCCTGGTGCTTTGCAAAAGACATGATCACCAACCGAGCTAGTGCTTCATATGCAACACACGGCCCAGTCCTTTGTGCAGCAGTGACCGGCGATCCAGTCATGGCCTGGGTGACGTGACTCACTCGAAAAGTGACCGAGCTAGATCTTGGTACACAAATGCAGTGTTCACAACATCGTCGGCATTTTTTCTCAGCAGCGACCAGCTCACTTCCAAAGCTTAGCCCGACTGGCTTGGTACTTCTTGCCATCCTCTGATTCCAGCCACTCTTTCAAGTAGTCTCTCATAACAGAGGAGGCGACCGACTTCTGCTGAGCGTGCAGGACCTGCACTGAGGTTGGCAGCAGTTGCACTTTCCTTGGCTCTCTGGTCCTTCCAGTCAACTTGAATACTGTAGAGTTGTATTTTTTTAACAATTAAGTTGATTCCTTACATTTGATTAGTACATGTCATGATTGAGTCAAATAATAAACTAATACTATGTGCAGGCTGATGACCCGCCAACGACCGCCTTCTGCACAGCTTGCTGGAGAACATCAGGAAGATCACACGGCAATGACGAAGAATGTTGCTGCTGAATGTTCCTCAAGACGACCGACAATCCACCATCGATGTCTTGTGGGAGCAGTGGATCCAGCAGTTCTGCCATGTCCTGACGGCTGTGCCCAGAAAGCTCTTCAAACGACCGTCCAGACAGACGCACAGCATTGTTCTTCTGGCGGATCTGCTCAGTGGGTCCTCCTCCTCGGGCTCGTTTGCGGACCGACATGATCGACCGGCAGACTGCAGCTTTGAGGATTTCATCGCGGTCCGAGCCCAGCATGTGCAGCCCACCTTGGGCCTCAGACAGGCAATTTCAGGCTCGTGTTTTTCTCTGTCTAATCAAAAATACATTGAATAATTGATGAATCAACACTAGAACTAAACAAATACTTTACTATGTGTTTCCAGAGATCCAAGAGCAGGCGATCGACCGCCTGTGCCGGGGTAAGACCAGCACAGGCATCGTACTGGTAATTCATTATGGAACCCAGGCGCTCGATGGCAGCTTCAGGTGCTGCCAGCAGCCGAGTACGATGATGCAAGCGACCGACATGCCAGCACTTTGGGTCTGTTCTGCATCGACCAACTGTAAACCAAGGATGTGCTTCCAAGGATCTAGCGATTGCCACAGAATCAACCGAGACCTTCATTTCGGTCACAACCACCAAGCGCTTAGCCAAGATACCAGACTTCCTCAGACCGACAATAGATATGGACGCATATATATTGTCAGCAAAGGAAGTCTGGGATCTTGGCTAGGCTGAATCTGAAATGCAGACCGGTGGCAGCACCGCCACGAGTCCCTTTGTGGGAACTATGACCGCCCCTGTCTTTCTGCGTTTCCGTCTGTTTACAGTGAGACTTCCGACCTGCGCGAGTCCTCAGAACTATGATAAGGGAAACACAAACCAAATGCTGTTGCATTCCATTTCCAACAATCATGCAGAACACTCCACTCCAACCTGTATTAATTGATCATGTCTTTACTAATAAATAATTACAACTGAATGAATATTGCAAGCGACCGTCGCTGGCAACCTGGAAAGTCTCATACGCAGACACAGGCAGCTGCTGCTGTTGGTACGATCCCAAACAAAGTGAAACGACAGACGCACAATACAGCTGTCCAGCTCTTGAAGCATAGGGCATTTTCTGCTGCACGATGGCCGCCACAGCGGAGAAGACCATGACCGGCCGCACAGTGCAAGCAGTAACGGAAAACCATGATTTAGCCTCTGCTCTGATGACCGGCGGCACCCGACAGTCCTTCCCAAATGCTGCTGCAAGAACACGAGAAAGGAACAGTCTATATTGTGCCTTCATGTCTTCGACCGGCAAATCCCATCGATGTTCGACACCTTGAAACTCAGGGCCCGTGGGCCAAAGTGTGTGCCTTAGGACCGGCCTGAGTGCCTGATACAGTTTCAGGAAAGCATCTCCGTGCCGAGGTTGGGCTTGACCGCCGATCAACCCTTCCCAGTCAAACGCAATCATTGCATTGGACCGGATCTGCAAGACATCATCATTGACACCGACCGGCCCGAGAATTTGCGACATCTCCTCTGTGGCACGACCGGCGAGCGTCTTTGCACTGTCCAGTGCTTGAATCACATCATGGTGCACGATATAAACCTTCTCTGGGATGACACACCGCGACCGCCATTTGCATACACAACGACCGGCCTGTGCCCAAGTGGATTCTGCGTGTTCGCAACCATCGGTCCGATCCTCCCACAAATGTTGACGAAATCGACGAGCTTCTTGTCTTCCAAGCTGCCGTGTTCGACTACGAAACTGAACACGTGGCTCGTAGAAGTCATCTTGCAACGAAGCTCGACCGTCAGCCCACACCGGCACACGCACCTTGAAGGGTGTGTTTCATGTTTAATGATTTAAGGTTGGGCGGCAGGGGCTTCATCTCTCTGAGACAGACGAAGAGAATGAATGAAGTAACACCAAAACTCCGACCGCCCGACCAGAAACATCAGCATGTCACGCCTCACGGGTTCCACGTGGTCCATCCCAGTTCACAACTGGCCTCGGCCTCGTCTCAGAATATTTCTCCCTGCCCAGACATTGGCAATGTGGGCCCAAGCAATAGTATTCGACCGACGGCTCTCTGCTGGTGTGCAATGTAACCGACGAGAACTCTGGCGGCAGTACATGCATTATCTTCATGATTCCAGGAAGAAACTTTGGCAAAAAGCGACCAGCTGGTGTGTAGCAAAGGGCTGCAAGAAACTGCATGATCTGCTTGCTGGAACAGTGCTGGCGCAACAAGGTGGCGACCGTCACGTAGGTCTTCAGTCTGTCGATGGAGGTGCTTGCTCGTCTGGCGTACTGCAGCGATCTCTCTGCACTTGCTTGCAGTTTTGAAGGTTCGACCGCCTTTTGGGCCACCTGAGAAAAAGCTTCGAAGGCGACCGGCATGAAGTTTTCCAAGAAAGATAGGAACACCACAAAGCTCACGTCTGTCAAACGGCGACCGACGTCCATCAAATTTCTCAGACTTCGGGCTCCGTGCTTTTGCTGCTTCCAAGCCAGTCTTGCATGCATAGCGGTGACGACCGGCCTGAAATTCTTCAAAAGCGACAAACGGAAAAATACAAACATCCGTGTTCCGCCAGGTGCTCCCAGGGTGCCGACCGGCTCACCAATTTGTTTCGAAACTCCTCGCAGCAAGGCCCGACCGTCGCCCATGAAAAAGGTCTTGTCCAAAACAGATACGATGTCCATAACTTCTGTAGCTGCATCGACAGACTTGATTGCCCGATCCAGTGCGGTTTGTTCCTTCGTAGTTCGACCAACAGTGTGTACATATTACAATTGAACATATCGTTTGATTATCACAACTATTGCTTTGTAGCTATGCTTCACGGTGCATCAGGCCCCAGTCCGTCATGACCGGCACAGGGTCTCCATCCCAAACAGAATTGAAAACTTCAGACCATATCAGTTCCGCCGAAGCTGTGCTCTTGTGCCGAGCCAACCGACCACCCATGGCATTGGCGCCATCGCCGACAACCATGGCTAAAGATGCCGCCAGTGACCGGCTGCTAAAATGGGCAGGGTGCTCCTCCAGAATCTCCAACGCGACCTTCTTCAATTGTGGGCCTGCATGATCACCGACACCCAAAGTCTTCCCGCCAACCATCGGTGTGTAAGCACGACCTGTGGCAAATTATTAGTTGTTAATTTATTCTGTGAAAAAATAGATAGAAGACACAAAGGTGACCGGCTAGTGCCATGATGCTTTGGACATGAAGAGGAAGCCTGTGCTTTGGCTCACGACCGACAGTCCGACCAGCAACACATTGTCCCGCTTCAGCATTTGTTCTTTGCCAATGGAGATGGAGTCCAACATGACACCTTGCTTAGTGAGATGAGCCACATCACTGATTCACACACACAGTTGCAGCATCGACTGTCTAATCTGGCGGCAAAGCACAGAAGTCGCTGGGAATGCCTAGGCCAACGACCAGCCGTTGAAAATCCATCGCATCCAAATTCTGCAATGCCCTGGCGGCATAGAACTCCACCTCGCGGCAGAACGACCGGCTGCAAGGCCAATGGCCCAATTGCACTCCACGCCGGCGGTTCCTCTCGGCATCTCTTTCAAAAGAGAGGAAGGACCGGCCTTCGGATGCGTTGGAAAGGCAAATGTCGACTACTGTGTCCAGTGACAGCTCCTTGTCGACCGACACGGCCTTCTGTTTCCTTTGTATACCCTCCTTCTCTTTCTCTTTGAGCTTCTCGCGTTCAAACTCTTCAAGCTTCGACCGGCTCTGCATGGAT